CTCTGCTATTTGCACAGGTAACATCAACTACCCAATGGCAAAACACTTTATGGAACATCATAACAGGACCCGTCCACTTTACAGGCTTATGGGATTGAGCATATTCCACAGTCCTAGAGACAAGACAGGGGATAGACAGGGACAGCTAAATCAGAAAGATACTTTTTGGATATTTAAACTGCAGGCCACTAAACAGCCAGACATTAATAAGGACCTAGACTTTAGAGTTTTTCTTTGATTGGTTTAGACTGTTTTACTGTTCGTTGTATTCTTATACGTTTAGCTCTCGGTTTTGCTTGTATCTGTTTATTGTGTATATTGTAACCATGTGTATATTATGCATGATATTCAGTGTATTTTATTTACAATGTATTTGTCTCTCTATTTAGTAAGGATGACACCTGCTGGTGATTTGATATACTGACACGTGTCACCTGTCTTATGTGGAGCTTTCTGATTGGTGATTTTAGTTGGTAAGAACCTCTCCTTACTGGTGACAACTGTTTGACTCCCTGATGAAGGCTACATTGCTGAAACGCGTTGAAGTTTTTTAGAAAGGCCATATGTGACTTAGCCATTACAAAAAAGGCTTTTGAACTTTTTCTACTTGAGAGTGCCTTGGAGTTCCTCTTGCTTTTTTCCACTGAATCTTTCCATCCAAAGAGCACCTCAAACAAACTTATGTTGAGTTCAGGAAGTTTTTTGAACCACAAAAGCACGTTCCCCCTTGCTCTATTTCTCATATAGGGGACACGAAGCAACAGATGGACGGTCGACTTCAATGTTCATTTTGGCACATGACGATCGACCGGCTCTGCCAGGTGAGCTGGAGCTAGACTGTTCATGTCTTTGAAAATGAAGGTTCAAATCTTAAACTTCACTTTGAAGATTACAGGGAGCCAAAGGAGATGTGTCAGTACAGGTGTGACATGGATGCGTCTCGAAGTATTTGTCAAGAAACTGGCTGCTGCATTCTGAACCATATGATAAATGGCATGCACTTGTAATGCTTTATTAGGTCCAAGGACGCCAAAACGTCACATTACAGTCAATCGTTCACCCATTCACACATTCTCACGTCGCTTCACATTGAAAAACATTCCCTGGACATTCAATGATAGAAAAACCCAAGAAACAACTACTATTTCAGCCTGAGATAGAGGTACACATGAAGTCACTTTTTCACTGTAAATGTCTATATTTTAAAGTGTTAGCTTGTGATTTTTTTGCTCCTGTAAAAGTACAAGTTAGTATTAATCCTACATGACTTTTCTTCTCAGTCCACCCAAACTCTTCAGATCCACCCACTGGAGCCCGGGGCACTTCAGTGTGTCTCAGCATGTGCTTTAGATATTATTCATGAGTCTTTTCACTGTAAGCAAAGCATTTATTACCATCTGTCAATTCACAAGTTGTTTTCCCGCATCAGCAGTCCAGTAACACTGGATCTCAGAAGGACATGTCCCAGAGCCCCTGAGACAGATCGTCTTGTCCAAGATGGCTGAGACTTTAGTCATATTAGCCATCAGATCTGATTATCACTTCAGAGTGGCTCCTCTTTTATCACGTCAGACTTCAGTGCACTGTTAATTAGTCAGAGTTAACAAGCTGTTGCAATGTTAAACTCAGCTGTGCATATTTTTATTAACCTTCTCAGGCTGTGGTGGTTGAGGGGGAGCAGGATGTGGCTTAAGTGTAAACCTATGCTGTTGCGAGTCCCCACATGCCAAAGACAGTGGCAAGCTGAAACACACTGGACTGGCTTGTGCGAGCAAAATCAGCCAGCCGACAGGAGCTGGGCTGCAGGTAAAAAAACTGTGGTCAGAAACAAGGGTCACACAAGGGTCACAGGGACAAGAGGACAGAACTGGGCGAAGGGTCAGGAGACTGACCCCACCTCTTTGCCCCACCCCTGGCTTGGAAAGATGGGATTGGAGGAGAACAGAATGAAGACAAGCCCATCAGATCCAGAAGCCCTCTCGGGAACATTGGAGAGAAACTGAAGAATGCTGCAAAAGATGATGTAATGACCTGTGTTAAGAAGAATGCTGCATGTAGCGAAAATGACACCAAATGTTTTGTGTTGAGCTACAAAGTGTGTATCTGGTAAATGACCCTATGACCTTAAGCTGGTCCAGGAAGGGTATATAAGAACAGCTCTGAACAGCAGATAGAGATTGAGAGATTCGACAGCAGTTGGGGCAGAGGACAGAGAGGAGAGCAGATGGGGAGGGGTCATCCCCCGTCCAAACCTGGATGGGGGATGACAGAGAGAGAGACTAGAGAGAGTTCTTGGGGAGATTCTGAGAAGACAAGAGCTAGTGTAAACTAACTCTTATTTAATCATTTTGAACTAATTCCTCCGTGGGGGATAGCAATTGTTTTTCACTTTACCCATTTTTGTATTTTGATTTTGTAATAAACTTTTTTTTTGAAAAAGAAACACAATCCTGATTCTTTCAGGTTTTCTCTAAAGCTTCACGAGTGGGGGCTCTGATCATTAATTGCACAGAGGTAAGCACATTAATTACGGGTTCTGGAATTATCAGGACTTACTTTACGGTTTGTGACAGATTAATATAAAGAAACCTTAAGATAACGGGATTGCTTAAAAAGAAGTGAGCTACTACAGAAGGAAAGGTCTTACATATTATTTCACCTTTAAAATAAAAGATATGATTCTAACTTAGGACGCCCAAACCAGGATCTAATACTATAATACTCACCGACATCCCCATCGAACCCTGATGGATGCACCGTCTCATAAGTTCTAACGGAACTAGGTTTTAAAGGAACCGGTAAATGGGACGGGCACGCGACAATGCTAGGACAGATTCCCCTGAGAGAGACGTGCAAAAGGTGAGAGGGACGAGTTAAAGGACAGTCGAGTCAAGGACCAAGCTCAATCTGCTGCCTTCTGGCTTTACAGAAGAATATGAAGTTTCTGTGTCTCATATTGGTTTTAAAATATGGCCTGCCTGAAATCCTTTGTTTGGTTGTTCAGCTACAAACGATCGTGGCATCTTTACATCGGAGACGGATTCTATAAGAACTAAGCAGCTTTATTCCTCAGTAGCACATACAGTATCTTGGGGAATAGTGATTACAGCAAATTATGGACAACCAATAATGCTTGACTTCAAAGGTGTTTCATGATAACCGCATCTGCACCGACTACACCTTAAATATTGTTGCAGCAATAATATATGCTGTGTGCTTCATGGACTGCAGAACACATGAGGAGCTTAAAGTTAACCCTCACTCCCAAAAGAAAGAGTTTTGTGCAATTAAAGAAATCAGACTGAAAATGAAAGAGTCACAGTAAAACGTGGTCATTTGAAAATGTAAAAATCAGGACATTTAAATGTTTAGATCAGCAATTCTCACACTCGCCTTCATGCTTCAAGGGTGTGTTATCGAACCATGGGTTACTAACTGGACAATAGAGCCATATTTGCTAAACAGAAACTAATCAAACCACAATTAATGATCATGATTCACAGAGAATCTAATTAAAACAATCTCAGTAAGACAGTGCAGAGTAACTGAAAAGGTGCTATTTGAGAGTTCTGACTTTATGAAAAGTCCTAAATGAAAAGATTTGTGGTGTGATTCATCTTTTAACAAGAAATGGTTTCATGAAATATAATCTGTGTCATTCCAAAAGCATAAAAGATATGAACATGTCAAAATAAAGACAGTGACATGTGTGTGTCTGTTGTGAGGCTCAACAATGTAAAAACAACCCCTAAGATATATTTTCAAATCAAATACAGATGTCAACTGGGTTAAGCGCTACAGAAATACTAATGAATCCACCCCAGTCCATCACAGCCGGGTTTTGAGTTTGTAGTTCTGTCCTGACAAGATGGATGTAAAATATGATCATGGCGCCCTCTGGTGTTCTAAGGTAAAGTAGAAATAAACATGACTTTCAATGAGCTAGAAATGATTGTAATAGTTTAAACTGGTTCTGATAAATTATTTAAATCCAAAAATAAACAATTTTCTTTGTGCCTTTTATGGGCAATAAAGAACAATTCTATTCAATTCTATTTGAATAGAACAGAATAGAATAGATTAGAATAGATCAGAATAGAGTAGAATAGAATAGACCTTATTGATCCCACAGTGGGGAAATTCCCTTGTTACAGCAGCACCAACACTTAAGAGAATAAATAACAAGGGTATGTAAATACACATATGCAGTAGACTACTATTGTAACTTTCGGCCAATAAAAACCACAAATAAAAAACGTGGGTTCCAGAACCATGGTGAAATGTTAAACAGTCTATTTGATACAGCACCTTCTAGACTCCTGGAACCCCCCAAGGCGCTTTACAACACAATCAGTCATTCGTCTATTCTCACACACATTCACACGCTGATGGTGATGAACTACATTGTAGCCAAAGCTGCCCTGGGGCATGCTGACAGAGGCAAGTCTACTGTACACAGGCGCCACCGGTCCCTCCGACCACCACCAGCAAGCAAGGTGGGTTAAGTGTCTTGCCCAATGACACAACGACAGCAGCAGACTGAGCAGGGCTCAAACCTGCAACCTTCCGATCACGAGGCAGGCACTTAAGTCCTGTGCCACCATCGCCAACTATGCAGCATACAGTAAGGGAGACCGACATAAATCGATACTGCACAAGTATTGGGCACGTACTGACTATTGCATTGATGTTATTGTGTACCAGGGTGACGCCAGTTTGGCTTAGACTGAGGAGTTATACATTCTTGCTACAGAGGGGATGAAAGCCTGGGTAAGAACTGAAGAGGAATACAAATATTACAAGATGTCTCAGTCACTGGAAATAAAACACTACAACTACTACCACTACTACTACTACTACTACTACTACTACTACTACTACTACTACTACTACTACTACTACTACTAATAATAATAATAATAACAATAATTATAGGGTATGACTGTGTCTAAAAAAATCACAGATCAGATTTTTGCTTGACTGTTTCCCCTCCCGGAAGTGACGACAGCGTGGCCTCCTTCCGGTGTGCGCTGCTGCTCTGGTAGCTGCTGTTGCTGCCTGTCATCTCCATCACTCATCCCCAGAAGTCTTCTGTGTCCACGTTTCCTTTTGTTTTCCCCGTCGTGTCTCTGACACAACTGTAGGTGTCCTCCACCATGCCCATGTACCAGGTAAAGCCCACGTGTGGGGATGACATAAAGATTGATTTGCCAACCTGCATGTACAAGTTACCGCATATCCACGCGCAGCAAGGGGACAGCCGCAGCTCCGAGCACGCGCTTCAGGTAACTTCACTGATTTAATAGTAGATAAGACAAACTTCTCCTTTTGTCAGCTCCTGTTTGGGTCTGGGGACTTTTATAAGTACACGTTTCTGTAGCGCAGCGTGTTAGCATGTAGCTAATTTAGCATGAGTAATGCCATAGCTGACGCAACATTACTGCACCTCTACTCTTCCTGAGTTAAAGCTGCTTTTATCAGTTTATAAAGTGATGACACCACGTGGGTTTGTGTTTTAAAGCACTTCCTGCCTGTTCGTGTTGAAATACTAGGTTTGAGTCAGACCTATGTGTCTGTGGACAAACACCCTACCTTATTTACATGTGGCAGTGCCTCTGTAGCATCTTTGCTAAATGAAAATATGAAAAAAGGAAATTGTAAGATAAAAATGTAGATTTTTCCATTATTACCTTAGTTATTGATAAGGCAATAATAGTTATTACTAAGGTAATAACTAAGAAAGCATCAAAAAGCGACATTTTGCCAGTGCGTGCAAATTCATTTTAAAGAACTGACTAAATTTTTGTGTGTGTGGTTTATTATTTATTTATTTATTTATTTATTTATTTATTTATTTATTCATTCATTCATTCATTCATTCATTCATTCAAAAAGACATTTTAGGTTAACAAGTCATCTTCTTTTCATTTTTGACATTTCCTTCAGTGGCAGCCACAGCGATTCAGGTGGCTCCATCATCCTCTTCCTCCAACCAGCCTCCATAAATCCGCTATTCAGGCTCCCTCTAGATCTCCTGCCTGGCAGTTTGTCCATAAGCGTCCCTCTACCACTACACCCACTTAGGGTTGTCATGGTGTGAAAATTTTACCTCACGGTTATTGTGACCAAAATTATCACGGTTTTCGGTATCGCGGTATTTTTTAAACATGTTAAATTTTCAGGAAACTAAATTCATCTGGGAAATTCAGGAAACCAAATAAACCCTGTGTATCAGGAAAATATTGTCCTCAGTTTGTGTCTAAATTTTGCCTACAATTTGTTATTTTGTAATTATGTTGTTTATTTGTTTACATTTTTTCCCCTTTAGTCTTTAAAATACCAATATTTGCCCATAACTTCTTATTTTATGTCTGTTTGATGTCATCATTTTAAAAATATTAGATCAGATGATACTCAGTACTCAAGTACCCTTCTAATCAGATACTTTTTTACCCTTACTTGAGTAATAAACCCTATATCAGGAAAATATTGTCCTCGGTTTGTGTCTAAATTTTGCCTACAATTTGTTATTTTGTAATTATGTTGTTTATTTGTTTACATTTTTTCCCCTTTAGTCTTTAAAATACCAATATTTGCCCATAACTTATTTTATGTCTGTTTGATGTCATCATTTTAAAAATATTAGATCAGATGATACTCAGTACTCAAGTACCCTTCTAATCAGATACTTTTTTACCCTTACTTGAGTAATAAACCCTATATCAGGAAAATATTGTCCTCGGTTTGTTTCCTTCCAGTGAGCTTTGCAGATTAAGGGAAAATGTCATCAGGGAGTAATCATTGTTAAATTCATAATTATTCTCGGAGAGAGACCAACTCTTATCTGCCCCTGGGAGCCCCGTAATGCATAGCGTCATTTCAACATGGGGGTGTCCGCGACACGGTTTATATGCAGGTAGCGGCGCTGCGGCTGCTTTATATAGCCACTCGTTGCATTCTCCCTCAACCCAAATCCTCGGATCACGCATTTTAGCTAAAACGCTAACGTTAACTTGCCTTGCGTTGACTGTAGAGTTGTGGGTGATGGTCACGCAGATGTGTCATGAGATTTGAAGCATTGCTGCCTTTCACAGACACTTTTTCTGCTCGTGCTGCAAACAGGATAGCCGTCTTCTATAAACTGTCCCTCGGCATTCTTCAAATATCCAAAAGATGCCCGTACTTCCCACTTTGTCATCTTTGAGGGATAATAAATGTCCTGAGCGCTGCCGTCTCCTCCTTTGGCCATTATTTCAGCTTTAGCTTCAAGAAAGTTTTGGTTGTAAACAACAAAGCGCGCATGTGCCGCCGGCAGCTTCAGCAGATGATACGGTGGCTGGTAAGGGTCACCGCGCCTACACCGCAGCCAAAAAAGACGGTTATTATTATTGTCAACTTTTTTACCGGGGTTTACCACTACACCGGTTACCTTGACAACCCTACACCCACTATCCATCCTCTATGTGGCAAAGCCATCTCAGTCTGGCCTCTCTGATCTTATCTTCAAACATCTAACATGAGCTGTCCCTCTAATGAACTCATCCCTGATCTGATCCATTCTCGTCTCTTCTAAAGAGAATCTCATCTCTGCTACCTCGAGCTCTACTTTATGCCTTCTTTATGCCCTGGAAGCGGGGTTCTGATAATATCATCGCCACAAAACTCTGCATGAATCCGACATCTAACGCAATCAAACAGTTGTGTATACACCAATTGTACTGTGCATTGCTGTCTTCAATTCCTTCAGTCATTGTTCATCCAGTTAACAACAACAATCCACTCCATCTGCTTCACTTTGGCAGCATTTTACAATTTGTGTTGCTAGACTTACCGGCAGAATGCTGACACGAAAGGGCACATTTCACCAGGCAGCTGAAAAAAATATTTCAGAGGCAGTGGGTCCCTTTGGTTAAAAGCTAAATGCAGATAAACAAACCAACTAGAGGTCAAATGATATTGGTTTTTCTATGGCGGATACTGATGCTGATATGTAGGAGACAGGATCAGCCGATGGCCGATGTGTATTGCCGATTTTTATGTGCCAATTTTCACGGTCCATAACTAAACATTTCATACCTTATTTTCATGCTAAAATATCACTAATAATATCAATTGGTGCTCAAAATTTCTGAAGCTGAATCAGTTTTTGAACTCTGATTTAACCAGCTGTTAAATCTTAACTCCGTGCACCGCTCAGTGTTAAAGTCAGACACCTAAAAAAGTTAATTTAGAGAATTTATTATTCAGATATTATATGTGAACGTAAAAATACATTTTTTATTAGGGCTGCACAATATATAGCAAAAATATCGTTGTCGCGATATCAGCATGAGCAATATGCATATCACAAAGAACAGATAAATATCGCAATGAATGGTCAGCTCAAATGTTTGCTACACATTCTGTCAATCAAACGGAAGCATGAGTTTTTTTTAACAAATCAAATAGAGCTCTTCACCCATTTGGCCAATTGGGTGGGTTCTCATAGGTTAGATGCCCGCCCCCGAGGCAGACGGCACTTAATTTTGATGGTTAGCAAACACCTGAGTTAGCTTTGTTCTACTCTTTCTGCTGATTCTGCTTTTCCTGGGATCCACTGATTGCCTTTTCTTTTCTTTTCTTTTCTTTTTTTCTCCCTTTCCTCATATCTTTTGCTTTAGTCATTTTTATGATTTTCAGTCATTTTTTAATTTATTTTTTTATTTCTTTGTTTTTGATTATTTTGTTCCTGAGTTAAGTTTTTATTTATCACAAGTAATATGGCATTGTAGCATATTGCAGGTTTTCCTAATATCATGCAGCCCTAGTTTAACTCATTCGCTGCCAGCCGTTTCCTGATCGGTAAAGCCCTTCGCTGCCAGCGTTTCTCACCGTTTTTACTGTTTTTTAAGAGTCACAGAACATTGCACGCTAGGATGATGTCGACGGCAAAATAAATCTGAGATTCGCCTCTTACATCAGGAAGAATCCTCGTGTTTCGAGCGTTAACCATTCTTTCATAATCCGTTGTCAAATTGCGATCGGCAGAAGCTTTTCCGTTTCGTGCCTCACTTTTTTTACAGCAGCGGCCCAAAACGATCTCCTAACACTTGGGTTTTCTGCTTCCTGATCATGTGACGTGTGAAGTATGTGGATGAAGATCGGCTTTAGAGCTGAGATGTTTGTTCTCACGGTGCGGGGGCTCGTTCCGATGCCCCAACATAAAAAAGAAAATGCAAATGACGACTTTAATCGTCATTGGTAGTGAATGAGTTACATTAAATTCTGCAACAGCACCGGGCTGCCCAAAGATGTGCCTGACTTAAATTGGCTTTACTAAAAACAAATATCATCTAATGCCGATGTAAAAAAAAAAAAAAAAAAAAAAAAAAAAAAAAAAAAGGTAAACATCAGCCTGATACATCAGCCGGCCCCTAATGCCAACATGAGTTCAGTTGTTGGTCTGCATCAAGCAAGGGAACAAACAGAAAATAGCTCAGATGACAAATATTGGGTTTAGACTTTTAATTAAATATTACAATCGTAGAAAAATATGACGTTGGTTCTTATGAAGTGGAAACTTCAGTAAAGTGGATACTGTTGGGAATTACTGGTGCTTCAGGATGCCATGTCTAGTTTAATTTAATTAATAAACATAACTAAGTTAGGGTGGAACCACATTCTTTAGTTTGTTTCAGGTGGAAATGCTATTTAGGTGCAGTGCTGAAGGCAGAACAGTAAGTTGTGAAGCTGAAAAACCAGTCACACACTCCTGAGTCAGCAGGGAGAACCTGAGGTCGGTTCGGCGTCTCATAGGTAGGAAAATTAATGATCATTAATGATTAAAATAGTTGAAATGAAGTTACATTTAAAAAGTCGGATTAAAATCTTGTGGCATCTCAGATTACAACTCGGGTTTGTTTTTTTGTGATTGAAATGTGAGTTTCTGTCGTGTTTTAGTGTGTTCTGTTTTGGGTTTAAGGTGATAATAAACTGATGAAACTACTTTTTATGGTTAACGTTTTTATTGAAAGAGAGATGTAAAGAGTGCTAAGCTGAGACAAGCCCTGGTCATGTTTAGACATGAGCTGTATTAATTACCTCCTAATGTGATGATCATCATCAATGGTAGGCTGCATAGCAGAAAGTCAGTTGGCTGCCTGGAAGTACCGAACATACAAGTTCAGCCAGCTGTGAATCTTCTCCAGGACTTTTCCTTCATTTGTGTTTGCTTGTTGGCTGCACAATTAGTTGTGTACATTTATATTTAGTGACATCGTGCTGCACGACAGGGTCTTAAGTTAGAGAGACATTCATGTTTTGGGGTATTTTTACAGAAACCCTTGCTTTTACTGTCACTAGTGTTTCAGGCATTAACCGGTTTGATTATTAACCGCAGTGTGATACACTGCAGGTAACCCACCCTAAAGACTTCCCAAACATCACCAATTAAAACAGACAGTAGCCCGACCCGCAAGGACCAAAACAAAAGTGAAACTGGAACGGACGCACGCAGCAGAAGCAGAACCTGTTTTAACACCCTCCGGGACTGCTCCGTTTCCACCTAGGAAGTGCTTTAAGTCTCCTGTTTGGGAATATTTTAGATTCCCAAAGGGAGGAACTCAGGACGAAGGCTTGTCCCTCTGCAGAGCTGGCAGAAAAAACGCTGAGACACCCCCAACTCCTCATCTCTGAGATCATTGTGCAGAAAAATAAGCTCCTACTGAGTCAGATTACATTAGTGACCAAAGTTATTCAACAGTAATATTAGAACAATTCAGTGAAAACACTTCTCTGTAATCATCTTTGGTATTTTCTTGCTGTGTCTAGTTTCTAATTCCATTTTTAGTTCTTTTTTAAAACACAGAAAAGTTTTTTTTACCTTGCTGACCGTTTCGTTTGCCGACTGCAAAACTAACCTCTCTGTAATTCCTGTTCTACATGGCAATAATTTATCCTTGTCTCAATGATATTCTTACTACTCAAATAAAAAAACAACAACAATGAACAAGTAGAAGTTGTTTCCATCAAAAACAGAGAGTGCTGTGATTGGCTAAACTGTTTGGACCAATGGTAGACCTGCTGGCTACAGTGGAGCGTGGCTAGACCGTCTTGCAGAACAGATATCGTCTACTGCAGGTCGGACTATGGGAACAATTCTTAATTTAGGCTTACTCTCTTTCACACACACACACACGCACGTATGCACACACACACACACACACACACACACACACACACACACACACACACACACACACACACACACACACACACACACACACTTGTATTTATATGCTTGTGTGGACCCTCCATTGACTTCCATTCATTCTTTTTTTTTCATGTTTGTGACTGTATTACGCCTAACCCATACATCAGTCCTAACCACAACCACTGCTGATCTGCTCCTAACCTAAACAAAAGTGTATTCTCACCATATCTCTAAAACCATGTTTTAGGGTATTTCATCATTGGGTGGACCAGCCAGATGTCCCCACAATGTGAAAATGTCCACACACTTCTGGTTAAAAGTTAAAATTTGTCCACATAAACCTAAAAATACAAGTACACACACACAAACACACACACACACACACACACACACACACGAACATCTAAACACCTCAGCTTATAATGCTCACTAGATCACAACATGAGCCCCATTTATTAGCAGATCTACTTTATTTTATCATTATCTTGTTTTCTTCATGTCGTATATTAACCCTTAAAGCAGGAGTGAGGAACCCTGGTCCTCGAGGGCCGGTATCCTGCACATCTTTTCTCCAACACTTCTGATTCAGTGGTTGATTCACCTGTTCAACAGCTCATCAAGCTCTGCAGAAGCCTGCTGAATAAAATCAGGTGTGTTGAAGCAGGTTTAAAACTAAAATATGCCGGATAGTGGCCCTCGATGGACCAGGGTTCCTCACCCCTGCCCTATAGCATCATCCACGGTTGCTTTCAAACCCCCCTCTCATCAGCACCTTTCAGTGCTTATTGGTAATTACTTAAATAAATTACAGTTCCCCTCAGAGACGCCCTACCAAGATGGTAACGGCTCTAGGCTCGGTCTTCTAAAGAATCAAAATGTGTGAACACTAGTAATGTAAGAAAATATCGATATAGCAATATATCACGAAATTTTTTCCTGCGATATTATGTCGATGTTCAAAAGCTGTGTATCGATTTTTTTGGAAGAATTTACGTGCAAACATCTGTGTATTTTCTTTTCTTTTGGTGCAAATCAAATGCCGTCCGCTAGTCAGCAGTAGTGTGCAATGGAGTGTGTTTCCACCACTGAAATGTAAATCCCTCTATTACGGTTCAGATACCTCATGTTAATCATGTTAGGTATCAGTTTGGACCGTTTATTGAATTTTCCTACAATAATTTTAGTCTAAAAAAATCGCTAATATCGTCCGACTGAATGTATTGCAATATATTGTGATATATCGTATCGTCTCCCATGTATCGTGATAAGTATCGTATCGCCAGAATTTCACCAATACACATCCCTAGTGAACACCAACGTTGGGGGATGATGTTTTTCTGGAAAATCAACTTTAGGAAACTCTGAAGTGATGTTAAAATGTTCTGTAGTACTTGAAGGTTAACTGGGTTTATTGTGAGCCGTCTTCCTTTCTCATAGTAACAGCAGTTATCTGTACTGTGATGGGATTGTTATAACCTGGATTTGCTCATCGTTCCACTATTGGTTTCAGTAGAGCTCCAACGTTTCTGTTTGTCCCCAGAACGGTGAGGTGGACCCAGCAGTCAGCGCTCTAGAGGCCCGGCAGGACGAGATCCTGAGGAAGCTGTATGAGCTAAAAGCAGCCGTGGAGGGCCTCGCTAAGACCGTTACCACACCTGATGCCGATCTGGACGTGACAGTCAGCAGCAGCTTCTCGTCACAAAGTTCCAGCTCCATCATGTTGGAAGGCAGCACAGATCTGGACACACTTCTGGGGGAGGTAAGGATCTTCTGTGCAGGTGTTTGCATCCCTGAAGGTACTGTAGCTCACGGCTCTAAATGCTTTTTCTGACCTCTTGTAACTTATGCAGCCTCCATGCTTCACATCTGAGCACGGAGGGGTACCTTCTGTAGTTGTAGTGGTTTAGCCATAAAAGACATATTTACTCACAGCCTTATCGTTGCAGGACCTTGGTGCTCTCCGGGACATCGTCATCAACGCCAACCCAGCTCGGCCCCCCCTGACCCTGCTGGTTCTCCACAGCCTGCTGTCTCAGCGTTACCGGGTGCTCTCCACCGTTCATGTCCACTCCTCCGTTAGCAGCGTGCCGCCACAGCTCCAATCCTGCCTTGGCCCACGCCATCCGGACAGCTACGCCCGCCACCTGTTTCAGCTGGGCTTCACCCTTATATGGAAAGATGGTACGACCACAAAGACAACTGGTTTAACACATCATAAATCGTGAGCAGAACTGAAAAAAGTTTTTCTTTGAACTAGAAGTTGCAGAAATGTACGGCTTTTACTACGTCTTTTTGCCCGTGTCGTCATATTCAGCATTAATTAAAAGAGAGAAGATGTGTGTAAGTAAGTGATGCTCATGTCCCATTAAAGTCTCTTTCCGGAGTACTTCTCTTATCCCATGGCACCATCTAGTGGCTGACTTGCATATCACACAAATAATTTCTCCTTCCGTTTTTTTTTTTAAAGATGGTGACTTCACGTTTCTTGTTTATAAAAGTGCATCTGTAGCCGACAAACAGCTTAAACACATTGTTTTACCAGTATTATTCTCATTTCATGCTGTGTTCTCATATAGACTTACTTGTCTGTGAAAAGTTCAACTCTGCATCAGCCGAGGTATTCCTTAAATTTGAAGCATGGAAGCGGTCGTCTAACGCTATTGGTTAGTTCTGGTCGGCGCTCACGTTTCCTATTCCACGGAGCTCTGCGGGGCAGGGGCGTGCCTAGCAAAAAAAAAAAGTATTGCTTACATTATATCTCAGTGCAGGATGAGACGATCACTTTTACGGATTTCTGAGAAATCATACATCATTTCCGAAAGGGGAAAACTCCGGAAAGCTACTTTAAGACGCAGTGTTATGGACCAGATGGGGTGGAGTCAAGTGACTACACAAAGTCACATGACTCCTACCTCTGCTGCTTGCTGCCTGCGGCCGGTGGAGCCGCTTGAACCCAGCAGGAATTCACTTTGGTTTAAATCTTATTTCCTGTCTTGTTCAGTTTTCTTGTCCTTGCCGTTGAACACAAACCCTTCTCTGTTTCTAGAGCGCTCTCAGTCCTGATATGTGTTGTTCCTTCCCCCTCTCCTGGTTTCTTGGTAGCTGCAGCTCCTCCTGACATCTCAGCCAGCAGCTCGTCTCCCACCGACTCTGCTGAAATATTAAGTATATCTGGTGGGAGACCGGGCCGTGTCTGCTAGCCCTTACAAATCACAGCCTTTAACTGAAACCACAGCTGATTTCTCATCACGAAACATGAATATCTGTCTTTTCATTTCACTTTAGTTGTTTCTATAAGTAGAAGTAATATTCAAACACAAGTCAGACGTGGTGTTACGTTTTTTCCTTGAGGCTACATTTTCTAACTGCTTTAAAATCTGTTAAAAGATCAAACCAGGAGCAGGAACGTCCGCGCATCCTCTCTGCAGCGGCCGTGCTGCTTTAATCAGGCTGTAATTTCCTGACTAGGTGTGGGGGAGGATTGCTGTTTGACTCCTATTATTATAAATCTTAATTACCATGCAGTTCACTATGTCAGAGGAATTATGATAAACAATAACAATGCTCAGCTCCTTGACTGTGATTAAGAGGTGAAGGTTTGTAATCTTCAGGAACGAAGACGGGGTCTCCTTCAGTCTCTGGATTGTTACTGACGATGTAAAACACAACAGAAGGTTCCTAACCACGCCTCGTTTCTTTGACGTGTTTGCAGTTCCCAAGCTGGAGATGAAGTTCAGCGTCCGTAACATGTGTCCGATTGAGGGGGAGGCCAGCGTGGCACGCTTCCTCTTTAAGCTGCTGGCTCCGTATCCCAGTGACCCTGCAGCTGCTACGCTGGTGGACAGCTGGGTGGACACGGCCTTCTTCCAGCTGGCAGAAGGCAGCTCCAAGGAGCGGGCCGCCGTCCTGCGGGCCCTCAACTCCGCTCTGGGTCGCAGCCCCTGGCTGTCCGGGCCGGAGTTCTCCCTGGCCGACGTGGCCTGCTACTGCTGCGTTCTGCAGAGCTGCGCGGCGTCCTCGGCTCCGGCGAACGTCCAGCGCTGGATGAAGTCCTGTGAGAACCTGGGACACTTCAGCTCCACCAAGCAGCTCCTGCAGTGACCGGAGGCTAAAAGGAATAAACTATCTCAGCCATGTCTGTGATTCTCTCTGGTACTTCCCCACCTTTACTGTACTACAGCACCACTCTGTCTGCCTGGAAACAAGATGGCTGATGGGTAGCTCAGTATCTACCTCTGCCACGCTGCTCTGTAAAACAGGGAGGAAGCATTAGAGGACTGAGTAGGCAACGGCTCGGTGATGGGTTAAATTAACTGACACACACACACACACACTGTAAACCCTGCACCTACATTGTGCCTAACATGATCCCGCTCTAAGTGTGTGTTAATGTGTGATGACCGGTATTAGTAATACTTTATACCAGTTGTGTTTTTTTTTCTTAAAACATTAAACCTTTGGGTCAAACTTTCAGTCTGACTGTTTTATTGAGCTGTTTGGTTACAGAGTCAGTGTGAAGTACATGCTTGTGCCCAGCAGGGGGCAGGAGTAACAGGTTTCAGGAACCAGATTATGTCTGGAAAACTGGTCACTCATTATCTGGTCATTTATGAGGTCACTGATAAACACTGGACGTAAATGTCTATAGATTAAAGCGTTCCACTAAAGTTGTTCAAACATTCAGCTTTAAATGAAATAATCTGAAAGGTTTGTAATAAAAAGGTCTAGCTGCATATTTGGGTAATTCTGACGAAGGTGTTGCTGTGTGTCGGGTAAGAAGTGGAGAAAAGTCAAAGGATTTGTTCTGAAGCGGCAACAACAAAATGTTTCATTTCAGCTTAATGATTAATTTGTAGCTAATCTGTGTTGGTAATGTATAAACCAGATTGGATCAAATGGTTATTTGATCTATGCTTCCTCTTCAGCACATCCTGAGCTCCTTCAAAGGAATCTCCTACCATCTTTATGCAGATGACATCCAACTGTACATCTCCTTTAAGCCCCATGAGATGTCTAAGCTGCAGCTGTTACACACCTGCTTAGACTGTATCAAAACCTGGATGGCTGGGAGCTTTCTTCAGCTGAATGAAGATAAGACTGAGATCCTCATCTGTGCCCCAGACAAGCTGGTTCCCAAAGTCAGAGACTCTCTTGGTCAGCTTGCTTCTCACACCAAACCTTCTGCCAGGAATCTTGGCGTGACCTTTGACCCAGCTCTCACCCTGGATTCTCATGTCAGTTCTCTTGTTCGCTCTTCCTTCTTCCATCTCAGGAACATTGCTAAGCTGAGTCCCGTTCAGTCCCGCTCTGAACTTGAGACAGTTCTCCACACCTTCATCTCCTCACGCTTAGACTACTGTAACTCTCTTGTCACGTGTCTGAGCAGAACCTCCCTGAACCGTCTACAGGTGGTTCAGAATGCCTGTGCTCGGCTTCTGACCAAGTCCTCCAAACACACCCACATCACCCCGCTTCTCCTCCAGCTTCACTGGCTGCCAGTCAACTTCAGGGTTCATTTCAAGATCCTGGTTCTGGTCTATAGGGCCTTACATGGACAAGCACCATCTTACATTGGTGATCTTCTTAGTCCCTACACCCCCAGCAGGTCCCTGAGGTCCAGTGATCAAAGCCTACTGGTTGTGCAATGTACCTGTGGCCCCCAGACTCTGGAACACTCTCCCCCTGAGCCTCAGATCAGTGGACTCAGTGGTCTCCTTTAAAAAACAGCTGAAGTCTCACTTGTTCAAGCTGGCTTTTGTATGACCTTCTTCACCACTCTCTCTTTATTCTGCTCTCCCCACCTATTCCACCTTCCTCAGGATCCACTGACTTCCCTCTTTCCTATTCACTCTCTCGCTTTCTCTACATTTTTAATCACAATGGCCTATTTTTTGCTCATTTTAAATATATTTTTAATAATTTTCTAAATTGTTTTTTATATTTTTACATGTTTTGTTTTTGTGAAGCGCCTCGTGATTTTTGAGAGGCGCAATAGAAATATTTTCTTCTTAAAATCCACACAAACACTTTTTCACTTCCTTATTCATGCACGTATTTTTCACAGAAGTCTTCAATTCAGCCAATAAAACTTAAGTTTTTGTCTGCAAACACGATTATTTGCATCAATAATTTGAATTAGATAGTTGAATAGTCTTTCTGAGATTTAGTTTGTGTAAATCACCGATCTATGCTGGAGGGAAACCTCCCAATCGTACCCTCACAACGTTTTTAATCTGATTTTAGTGAAAATCTAAGAACCCTGAAGCACGAGCAGACAAATCAGGCCAAGGCTGAGTGAAATCCTTCAGGTCGGCAGGTTTTCATGCTCTGGTTTAAGACAAGGGATACCCTTTTAATCAAGATTCTTGAGTAACGACCTAATAAATTGTTTTTTTTTTTACACAGTAGAACCTCACTTGTACTAAATTCTTCAATGTTGAGTGTGTTTTTCCTAAAATGTTGCTTTTATATCCTGAAACGACTTCACAAAAACACCTGTGACTTTGTGACTCTGCAGTCGAGCTGTGGTCTTATCCGATGAGGTGCAGTTAGCGTCTGAGATTCACAGCTGGCTGGAAGCAAACTTGCAGAAAGTCCCAAGACTTTACACGCCTCATTCATACATGCAATAATGAACAGAACAAGCTAATCCTGTGGTTAGTTTAGCATGTTTGGCCCATGCATGCACAGATGTGTTCGTATTCTCTCTCAGCCTCCTGTTTGGTCTCAAGTTGGCCGTCCTAATGAGACCAAAGCTCTAATCTGATGTCTGGGCGCACGGTGAGGAATGCTGCTGCATGCTCTACGTCTTCCCCACAAAAAAAGCCAATCAGCATCTGTGCATGCAGCTGGGCCACGTGCAAATAAGGTACAGGTGAAATGACGTGCTGCTTCCTATCGGTTTGTGTGGAAGAAGAGCTCACAGATGCAAACACAAATTGATTTTCAGATTTTTTATATATGAAAAACACAAAAGATGCATTTTTTTAAGTTAGAAGTTGTAGAAAAAAAGCATAACTGCTGAACCTCACAACACAAGTGGGGGCATACGGTAAGTCAGATGTCAGGGTCCGAGATTGTCAAAAATCTTCGTTCTGCAAATCGAAACAGAACCATCTGATAACAAATCTGGGCCAAAGTGCCTGAAATAAGTTTTGTTTGTAATTCTGGTTTAGTTCTGCGTTACGGTCCAACAGAGTTAGGTCACTCCGGTATCAAAGAGCACACGCTCCTGTTGTATCTCAAAATCTGAATGCGTTCAAAGTAATCATCAGTGAGAACGTTTCTCTGCGAGGAGATCAGGTTGCCTTTTTCGCTGAAGAGACGCTGGACGGGAGCCGTGGACGGCAGCGTGGTGTTGTATTTCAGGAAGAGCTGCTTCACTCTGGGAAAATCCTGCAGGCACTCCAGGCTCTTCCCGGTCCCCTCCACGTACTTGCGGATCTCCTCCATCACTCCCCGCTGCTGGTTCTGAGTGGTGGTCTTTGCAGACCCGTAGCTGAAGAAGTCGTCCTCAGACTTGATGGTGGACAGATTGCGGGTGGGGTTGGCCGGAGTCACCTCGCTGGGATCTATCTGGGACGCCTCGGTGGCCATCAGGGAGCACATCTCCTCCCTCTCAGACGCCGCCATCCACCAAAGGCGGAACTGTGGAGTCGTCGCTGTCGCGATCTTTGCTTCCATGCTGGAGAAAAACTCCTGGAACCGTACGTCGATGGCCATCACGATGCTGTTGATGACGTCGCCAAAGTAGTTTGCTGCGTCCTTCTGCTCATTCAACTTGTTCTTCAGACTGAGAACGGTTGGGATGACCAGCCCCAGGTAGCACTTTTGCTCTGCCTGGAAAAGTTCCAAAGCAAATGCGAGCGGATGGAACACAGCTACGTATTCCTTCAGGAAGGCCATCTCCTCTGGCTGCAGGCGTGCCACCTCCAGGCGGGCGCAGAGCTCCGTCAGCTCCCGCTCGCTGAGAGAGACGATCTTCTGTACAGCACAGTACTCCACATTCCAACGAATGACGGCCGGGACGATGAGGGCCATCTTTCCGATCTCCTCTGCTGCATCAACTCCGACCTGGAGAAGGTGGCTCTTGTTCCAGATGCTAAACACCTTAGCCATGGAGCTATAGTGCAGCTGGCACATGGGCCCCTGAGAGATGGCCTGCCAAAAGTCCTCAGAGATGATCTGCTCCAAGTTGTGTGACGCACAGCGCTGCACAGGGGGCTGAAACAGAAGCACGCCCTGGTCCGGCTCACCTTCCAAAACCGTGCTCACGTTCTCGTAGAACCCAATGTCACTCTCACTCTCCGGGCTGTCCACTGCAAACTCACTAAAGACACCAACGAAGGGGCTGCCGTTATCGGTGACTGTGGTCTGGACTTTACTTTCGATGTTGTACGCTATGTGAGTGCTGTGTATCTGTCCGGCGATGGTGTCGTACGTGATCCTGCCCTGAAGCCGCGTAAACCCAAGAGCAGCAGACTTCCTCTCCAGAGACTCCGTGTCAATCCAGTGACACGTCATCCCGAAGAAGCTTCTGGTGCCGGCTGTCCAGATGTCCGCTGTGGTGCACACGTACTGGATGTTGCTGAGTTTGGCTGTCAGCTCTTCCCGCATCTTGGAGAAAGCCTGGTCCACCCTGGTGAACAGGGTCACCCTATCCATGACGTTAAGCCCTTCGGTCAAGCTGGAGATGAGTTTCTTAAAACCGGGCTGCTCCAGCATGTAGAACGGCTGACAGTCCTCCACCATGAAGCTGAAGATGAGATCGTCTATTTTTGACTGCGTCAGGCATTTGGAGATGATCTCAGCTTTGAGTTTTTTGAGTTGACAGTGTCTGCTTTCCTCGCCATTGTACTCCTCTTTCTTCCTTCCTCTCTTGGCGTCAGGCCAGGCTTCACAGCCCAAGTGTGTCCTCTGGAAGACAAAGTGACAGACGTCATGTTGACATCAGAAGCAATAGATGTGTGTGTGATCAGTTTATGAGACAATTTTTTTTTTTAGAAACTTTCACTTTCAAGTAAGCCAAAGGAATCATATGACAGACCACATCTTAATTTTCTAAGCTCAGCTGAACTCCGTGACCCCTTGGGCGCCATTACTGGCGATTTAACAAGGCGAATCACTCATTCATTGAGTCTTTTGGTCATTAAAACCAGGTGAGCGAGAGAACGACACGGTAACGTTACTTTCTGTGACTTACGTCTAAATGTTTCTTTAGGTTTGACGTGGAGGTTTTCGACGTGGACAGCAGATTAACCCTCGGCAGACACAGATTACATTGGACGATGATATTTTTCCCCTGATCTGCCTTGTACGTGAAATGGTGGCGATAACGCCAACTATTAATGGCCGATTTAGCCTCTCCGCTGATCTCACTGAGGTCCATTTCGGACGCGGTGTTTGCAGCAACAGGCGGTTAAAATACGAAAAAAGTATCACAACCCGAGTTAGTAATCTTGATTACACGTAATGTAACGACGGCTGTGCTGAAATCCTCGTTAAAAAGGGGCTGGTCATTGTTTCGATGTAGCCCAGAAATTTTTTAAGGATTGGCCATGGTGGTCATTCCGAGTTTTACGCATGCGCAAGAGATGCCAACCGTAACATTGAAGTTTCTAAATGCGCATGCGTACAGTACTCACGGGCTCCCTGTTGAAGACGTCATTGGCTATACCTTGTAGATTTTATTCACCTCGATAGCAGCGCTTTGGTTTCTATGGATTTGTTTTTGTTTTACGGGGAGTTGGTGCCACCATCAGGTAGAAGGAGTAAACAAAACAGCTCGAATAAACAATTTCAGTTTTCTATTTAAAGTTTTAATTGACACTATTTTTTTCAAACAAACTTTATTTAAAGTTCAAAACATTTTAATACAAGTTAAACGTGGAACAAAATACCAAGTACCAGTAAAAGTGGTGAATAGTACAGAAAAACAAGATATACTACCAAGCAGAGATCATATTAATCAAAAGTCACACATTTGTCCAAAATACATTTAGTTTTAATTGCTTTTTTATTTCAAGAGTACTAATTGTAGTGATGTTTATATTGAGTTCTTTGTGTAACTGGGTTATGCTATGGACCATTCCTTATTATGTATGTGAACTTTTCCCAAAAGGAGCAGAAGTTTTACGAGTTATGAAACATCCTGAAGAATTTGGATTCTTCTTTCAGTTTTCTGAGTTATGAATTGCTGCATGTTTGATCAATTTACAAAAATTTAAATAAACTTTGTTCTTCTTCTTCTCTTTTTTCTTCAGACAAGTACATTCAAATAAATGTTCAAGTATGCATATCGAGAAACGGCGCCAGTTTTAAATCTCTTTGTTTATATTTGACCTAGCTACATTACATTGTTGTTTTATAAAGAAAGAAAGAAAACAATATTTTATATAGTGCCTCTCAAGATGAAAATCACGAGGCGCTTCACAAAAAAAAACATTAAGTATAAAAAAGATTTAAAAAAAGATTGAAAACATATTTAAAATGAGAAGAAAATAAAAATTGTGATTATTAGCCTTTATTGCCATAATCTGCATTCTTAACCCGAATGGCAGATCAACCAGTTGATTGAGTCCATGTACGGTTTTGAAGCCTTGATAAGTGGTACCCCTAAATATATAATAGTTATATAACTTTTCATTATAATTCTACTTTACATTGTAAATAACAAATCCCATACATTATTTGCTCTTGTAAAACGCCTAGTGATTTTTATTTTGAGAAGTGCTATATAAAAATAATTCCTTCTTCTTATTCTTCATTATAATGAAACCTTAACTGCCTCAGATGAATATAAATAAAGCCCACCCACAATATTTTCTTTTTCTTGGGGCGGGAAGTAGAAATTAAATGGTTAAAAGAGTCATATGGTTGAGTTGGTTTCATGTCTGAGTCAAAGTGGGAGTCAACGTATTTTAATGCTGTGTTAGCATCTCATTTCAGTTTAAGCTTGCTGTAAAGTAACAATTCAACAGTGAATAAATAATAATAATAATAATAATAATAATAATAAACTCCTGAGTCACTGTGCCCCTTACATCATTTCAGGCAACAACTGTCTCAGTGTGAAGACTGGTGGTGTGGATTGTTGCTTCAGGCTGCCTCAAGGACTTCACAGCTTGCTGACTGTAGCTCTGAGGTCTGTTTTGTATCAAAGAACGCCTGAAGATCATTTTAGGACATCTGTCCAAAAGCTTTAGATGAACAGGGCGTGGCTCTGCTCAGATCTATCAGGAGGTGACTCAAAAACAAGCAGAGATTTATGGATTTAAAGCTCAGAACTGAATCCCATCATGATGCTGCAGGGGATTTAAAACAATTAAAGAACATTAAAATACCCTCAAAACACTTTAATCGAAGTTAAATAAATCCATTTTTATTGTGCACAGCAGTTCTACTCTTAATGCACCACTAAAATCAAAGAGTCTGTCATGTTTGATTTTTGAAATGTCAAAAGGTTCATCGTTTCTACTGGTTGTCCTGATTAGTCTCAGTTATTTATTTTGTTTACAGATCTAAAGTACTTTAATCATTCATTCAACTGACTGTTTCAGAAAGAAGAAGAAAATATCATTTCTATAGCGCCTCTCAAGATAAAAATCACGAGGCGCAAAGGAACAAACTTAAAGAGATTTGCACTTCTGTATCTTACTGAAGTAGGCCTATGCACCAAATGACATCTATCCATCCATTATCTTTCGCTTATCCAAGGTTGTGTCGCGGGGGTTGCAGCCTAAGCAGAGAGGCCCAGGACCAGACCTCTCTCTCCCCAGCCACGTGGACTAGCTCATCCGGGGCAATGCCAAGGTGTCCCTCCAGTGTGTCCGGGGTCTTCCCTTGGGACTGTCCTGGTTGCAGATACCTGGAAAACCTCACCGGGGAGACGTCCTAAACAGACTGAGCTCCTTTAAAATGCTAAAGAAGTAAAGAAAATTCAAATGATGTATGTTTGATTTTTTAAAAAGTTAAATGTTAATGCATAACTTTATTTTACCTTCGTTTTTTTGCTATTATTGCCTTTTTGCCCTGAATGAACAAGACATGTTTTATTTTTTGGCATGGTCAATGAAGCGTTAGGATTTTAGTTCAGTGGGTCTCACGCCTCTTGAAAGCACTGCTAAAGAGCTGGCCCCAGTGTTTATGAGCATTTTCAGCTCCTCACTAGAAACTCAGGGCTGTGTTCTCTCCCCTCTGCTCTTCTCCTTGTACACCAACGGCTGCACCTCCAACCAAGAGTCTGTCAAGCTTATCAAGTTTGCAGACGACACCACCGTCACCTCTGACGGGGATGAGTCTGCCTACAGGATGGAGGTGGAAGGACTGGTGTCCTGGTGCAGCCACAACAACCTGATGCTAAATGCCCAGAAGACTGTGGAGGTTGTTGTGGACTTTGAGAAGCACACAGTCCCCGTCCATAACCTAATCTGACACTCCCATCACAATGGTGGACTGATGTCACTTCCTGGGCACCAACATCACCCAGGACCTCAAGTGGGAGCCCACCATCACCTCCATCATGAAAAGGCCCAGAAGAAGAGGAACTTCCTGAGGCAGCTGAAGAAATTCAACCTGCCAGCACAGTCGACGAGGCAGTTCTACACCTCAGTCATCAGGTCCATCCTCACCTCTTCAGTCACCGTGTGGTACGCTGGAGCTACCATCAGGGACAAGAGGAAGCTGCAGCGTGTTGTACGCTCTGCTGAGAAGGTCATTGGATGTAAACTCCCCTCCATAGAGGACTTCACCTCCAGGACATTGAGGCGTGCAGGTCGGATCACAGTAGACCTGTGTCACTCTGGACACAGTCTCTTTGACTTACTCCCTGGCAGGAGGCTCAGATCCATTCATACCATAACCTCTCGCCATAAAAACAGTTTCTTCCACTCTGCGGTCAGACTCCTAAATGTCAGTTGTAGATCTACCCACTCCAATTGCTTTGTTTCAGTCACATGACCCTGTGTTGAGTTTGTACCTGAACTGACCCGCTCTGCAGTACCTACACTGACTTGTATAAAATAGCTGCGCCTCTAATTATTGCCTCCCTATATTGTTATTATTATTTTATTATGTTTATTTCTTAATTCAAATTTTTGATTATCGTTATTTTTTTCTTGCACCAAGTACCACTAATTTCCTAATGTTCCTAATTTCCACTCCTTAATGCTTATCACGTGGATTGGGTGGAGTTGAAAGAAACCAGCTGCTGCTTCATCAGCCTGAGCAGAGGAAGACCCAACGTCTTGACTGTTATCATGAACCTGGTGAGCTTCCTGTGCCTGGGCCGATCATCTGAAACGGTCTGATCTGTGGAGAATTGGTCCCTTGGTGGCTGATGATACTTGTGCATGGATGTCACTATCTCCTCCTCCCCTAAAGGTGACAAATCTCCCATTTGAGTTTATGCTGAATTCATCGTGAAGGCGCCTGACAAGGTTTTTTTGATCATTTGTCCACCACAGACCGCAAATGTTCAAACTGTAAATTTAAATAGGACCCTAAGCTTTTCTTTCTGCACTTTAACACGCGTCTCTCTCATTGGTTAGATTTGACGAGGGTGGGGTCTCACTTAGGAGTGGTTGACGTCGAGCTCGTCACTTTTTAACGGAGACAGTCTGAGTTGGAACAGAAAAAGTGCATTGAGTGAAAGATTAAGGAGAAGCTGGGTGATGATGTTGGAGAGGTTTTGATGCTGCTATCAGGCTTCCCGGTGCGCCCATGGAGCATCAGGAGTGGACACAACTGGTGTCCTTTCATTGCAGCAGCAAACTGAGCAGCTGAGCTGAACTATATCATCTGCTCCGTTTCCTTTGAGACTAGCTGAGGGAGTGGATATGAGCGGAGATCGGGCGCCCTGGCGCGCTCTGGGTGGACCGACAGGAGTGTGTGGACTGTAACATGAAGCACAATGGCTTGGTGTGAGCGCGGGGTTCAAACGCTGCTGGCCACAGTGGGGGCTTTCGCTGCCTTCAGCCTGATGACCATCGCTATCGGCACGGACTACTGGCTCTACTCGCGGGCGTACATCTGTAACGGCACCAATGCCACCACAGACGAGAGCCAGACTCCGATCAAAACTAAAAAAGGTGACCTCACCCACTCCGGGCTCTGGAGAATCTGCTGCATTGAAGGTAGGCTGCAAGTCTGTACTCACTTTCTGAAACTGTTCATTCGCGCAAAGTCTTGATTTCTCATAAATTAGTGGGTCGTCTTTTACGCATGGCCATAAGCGCACCAAAACCCTTTACGCACGACAACGCTCTTTTTCTGGTGATGTGCGCACGACGCGACCTGTAACTGTGCAAATGAAAACTTGTGAGGGGACGTAAACAAAAAGAAGCTGTTGAAGCTGCAAAAGAACGCGTCTCCGCCCATTCAAGCCGGGCGCATCCAGAAAACGCGCGCTAATAGTCTACTTTCATTCATGTCTTTATTGTATCGGATGCTGTTGCTTGGCAACATCCATGATATCGCTATGGAAACATGCCCGGTGATTTAAAAATAGATGACTCGTGTCCAAGTGAAAAAGAAAAACGAACGATTTTATAAATATAAAAGTGATATAACCACCATCATTTTGTTCTTTGATGCATTTTCCGGATTTGGCTCGTTTGGATAGGAGGTGCGCTGGTAGTGACGTCTTTATCCGAAGCAGACAGACGCTCATTGACCAATCTTCCCTCTGACCACCCCTTGACTTCTCGACTCAGCCATTAATGAGAGAGCCTGTGTTACTGAGTGGGTTTGTTCATGGGCACAGACGTCTGCCATGACGCAGGGATTCATAGAAACGGTTTAAAGCAAAGTAAAAATAAAGACAAATGAAAACATTCAGGACTTTTTCACTAATCTTTTGCAGGAAACAGCAAAACAATCCCATGCAGCTGCCCTTTCCTCCTCAATTTGAACAGTCGTTATTCTTAATCTCATAAAATATTATTATAAGCCAAAAATTACTTTGGAATTGTTTGCCTATATGGGTTCCTAAAATCCAATATTTTGTGCTAAATGATTCTGATTCTGATCAGTAGAAGAAGATTTGTAGCCTAAGCAATAAAAACACAATCATTAATAAACATCTAAAATGTTACTGATTTATGTTGCTCGATCTTCTGCCTGAAGGATGGAAGGTGCTCTTCTGGGTGGGTGAGGTTCATCATACATTTTTTTGGTGGTGGTGGTGGGTGGGGGTCCATTTTTTTGGTTTTTGTAAGACCTTTTGCTTTTATTTCACATAGAACTTGATGATATTTTGTACAGCAACGAGAAGATATCAGAAACCTCCTAAAATAGGGTCTTTTTATGAAAGTTTTTTAAGTTTTAAAGTTTTCGTTCCATCCGAGCCCACACGCAGAGAGAAACACAAAGGCACTGTCAGGGATGAAACCACACTAGTATGTCCTGTGGAGACGGTGGACGGATGTGATGGGCATCCTGGTGTGTTCTGATGAGATGGTTTCACTTCCAAATCTATAAGCCACTGCGAGGTAGCTCAGTTGTCATGGAGACACATTAGTGTAAAGGAAAAGACAAGCAAGGAAGCACCCGCTGTAGCTTTCATACACAAACACACTCACACATACATCCCTCCGGCCATGATGACAAACACACCGGGCTACTGATGGAGACAGCTCTGTCTGGATCACAGCTGCCGAGGGAAACATCCCAGTTTTGCCTCAGTGATACAACAACGACATGTCTCTGATCGACAACACGCAGCAGCTGTTCTGCTCCCCTTAGTCATCATTCACCTCCTATTATTTATGTTTTTATAGCATCATTTTCATCATTTCTTCTTCAGCAGGCCACCCAACAAGTGTCACCTCCTTCTCCAACATCAGTCGAATAAACAATAAATAAATGTGTCCGATACAAAATCATGAATGATCCAATATTCAAGTGTCGGGGGGGGGGGGGGGGGGGGGGTCATTAGTATACAGTGAGGGGCAATGGGGTGGGAGTGTGGGGGTCACTTTGCTGTTGTTACCACACATTGGGTAAATAAAATGTAGCCACGAGAAGCCGTGCAGGGGCACCAATTAGCCAGCGGTCTCCACTTCCACCTCGGTCCCGCCATCCTCCTCTGCCATGATGTGCTCTTTCTCTTTTCATCTCTGTGAAAGTTCAATGCCCCCTTTCTAAATTATAATTTCCTGCACCATTAATTTTATTTTTGCAAATAGACCATGGTGATGTTATTATCGCTACCTGTTTTGTGTTCGTTTTTGACCTGTGTGCGTTCCATGCTGGCTGCAAGAAAAGTTGCCTCTTGGGAAAGTTTTCATCAAAGCACCAAGAAAAAATTATTTTATCCAAAATTCTCATACTTTAACTTCACCAATATTTCATATATTCTGTTTGACGATCAAAGGAACATTGTCAGGTTCAACTGCTGGTTGGAAAACAAAACTACTGTATGTACTTGGAGATGGTGGAAATGAAACCAATCTAATGTTATAGTATTACAGGACCTTTCATAATTGGGGTTGTTTGTTATTTCACAGAAACATTCAACGAAACAAACAAAATGTGTAATAATTTAGGAGAAGAAACAAAGAAAATAAGAGAAAATATTAATCTCTTTTCAACAATTAACAGCTGGCGCAACTGAGATCTGGCTGAAGCTGCAGCTCCCCATCTGGTGGCCGAATGTTACTGCAACCTAACTTAACAGTAACTTTACACAAGCAGCAGCAAAGGGACATCCTTTACTTAAAAGGTTTTTAAAAACGTGTTGTTAGTAGCCCCAGAGGATGACATATCATAATGAAACTAGAATAGAGCCTAGATGTTGGTGTTCCTGCTCATGCACATTTCAGCATTAGCTTAGCAGCTGATAGAAGAGTGGAAGTTTCACTGGTTTAAAATTCAGAAAGCCCCACGTTTCCTGCCAAAAGTGTTCACCCTCTCCTCTTCTGGCTGAAACACCATAGTCTACCTCAGACTCTTTAAATGCATCAACACAAGGCACATCTGCATTATGTCTGCCTCCAGGTTACAACATATGAGAAGTTGCTTTGCTCTCAATTTGTTGCTTGTGTCTCCCTGGAGGAAAGCAGTGTTCAGTTATCTCTCAGAGGGAGTTACAGGACTTGTTGCTGCAGTTTACATTAGGAAAACAGACTCTGAGCATTGGAACATATAAGGTGCGCTTTATAGGCAGGAAAGGTCTGACAGAATGTGTCTTAAATAAAAGGAAACAAGATGGAGCTGCTATTCCCGGAGGGGCTGATGCTTCTGGCAAGTTTTTTTAAATGTCTGCAAATCTGCCTTGACTACAAAGCCATTTGTTATCTCAGAAAGCCAGCTGAAATGTTTTTTGTCATAGGTGTTTGCTTTTTGCAAATTGGATGACATTTTATAATGTGAAAGTAAATCACAATCTAACTCCAAAAGCTTCATTTTTTTTCCTGTTTAAAAAGAGCAGCCTACAACTGCAACTCTAAAAATGTTATTTTACCCTCACAGATCCAAACAATTTTCACTAATTTATCAGACTGCATAATTGTCTGTGTGCATTTTAAAGTCACTGCACCCAACATCCGTCAGAACGGTTTACATGGAGCAATAGATCTCAGTTCTCTTCCAGTAACAAGCAGTAAAATTCAAGCTGTGTTTGAAGAAACTGAAGCCTGGTGACAATTTAATTAACCAACTGTCAGTCATATCAACACTGAATCACTGATATTTTCGCCAAATAGCTTTTCTCTCATCCTCACTCGGAGTGAAAAGAGAGAAATAAAAAAACACTGGACGCGGTATGTTTGACTACACAGAAGCTTTTATGCGCTGGCCAGCCTTTCCCTGCCTCCACAGTAATAACAAATGTATGTGCTAGTTGTGTGTGCTCGCCAGTGCCTGATATTAGGCCTCCGTTACAGCTTTATAAAACCCAATCATTCCATTGGTGCAAACCTCAGAGCATTTTTCTTCATCACTCTCCAATGGAAGTCCTTGAAAACGTGGATAAAGTTTAGACAAAAGCCACAGAAATGTTGCTAATGTTCTCGTAAAGCTGTCATAGTTCAGGTAAAACAATAAAAATGTCACTTTTCATTGGTTTGTTCATTAGTCTATTTGCAGAGTAGGAAGCTACTCCTGATCTCCAAGAGGTCCCAAAGTGAGCAAAGGATGAAATTATCCCACATTTCCAAAGACGATGATCAGCTGACTTTTATTCTTAAATTATAATAATACTATGGTCAACACCAAACATGTTTATGAAGTGCTTTCCACAAAATATCTTTCATACAAAGAAAGATCAGCAGTTTTATTTTTGATAGTTTTAGTACCTTCCAGAATGAACCAATTCAGAGCTCTGTCACTTCAAGAAAATAACCTGGCCACACCCACCCACCTCCTGCTTATAGGCTGTTGTAGGTTGAGAAGTTACTAAACCATGGAGGGGCTCTTAGTAGAGTCACTGCTACTACAACAGCAGTTCTCTCTTGCACAAGAGGCGGTATTATTCTTCTCTCCCCGTTTGTGATGTCATAAATGGGGACTTTTTGAAACAGCTTGTTTTAGGCACATAATTACTAAGACCAAACACTGACAGAAAATTGATGAGTGGATCTTTTTAATTCTTGGAGAGTTTATCAATGCAGTAGAGACCCACATGGCAGCATACAAGGGTGCAGAAGGTTAATTTAGCCTAATATGTCCTGGGCTCAGTCCAGTTTACAGCGTTTGGACTGTGTAATGAAGGTTTCAACATTTCTAAGTATTTCAAAAGAGAAATTAGTGTAAAAGGTTGTATAATTACACACTCACACTATTGTCCATTCAGTGTTCTGGCCAACAGTTAAGTAATGCACATTTACATGTTTACCTAATATTACATTATAATCCATAATGCCCCAAATTAATACAAATGTAAATAGATGTTTAATTACATTGCTATTTTAAAGAATTATTTCTAGTGAGTTAGGTTTAAGGTTTGAGAGGTTCTTCCTTGCTGAATATCCTCAGCGATCAGACCCCCGTCACCTGGTTCTTTTGATCCCAGGAAAGAGTTGACGGGGCACACGTCACATCACCAATAAACTAAAAAAATTATCATGATTCGGTAGCACTTAGTTAATTTGATTTTATGTATCAAAAAGCAGAGAAATTATTTCACCCTAATCATGAGTACACCCATTAAACTCTAGGCTCCTCCCACTCAGTGGACAGGGCACACCTTTCAATGTGTCGTCTTTTAACAATGTGAGGGACTGACCTGAGGTCAGATCCCACTTTAACTGGGAAACAGCTTGTTTTAATTTAGTGTTTGCACAATAATCTGATTTGTGTGGCCAAGCATACAAACTTAAAAAGATTATAATACAAAGATGAAAAGATGGACAGGTCAGTCAATGGTATGATTAAAGCTTGAAGGCTAGGTGAATGTGACACAGGTCAGCACGCAATGACACAAACCATTTAACATGATAAGAAAAAAGCTGCAGGGTTATGGATAAATAACTTTGTTCAATTGTTACAATTCATGTGTTATAACCTTTGCTCGTTTTGTGTAAAAAATTACTTTTAAACATGTGGCAAAGTGTGATAATTGAAACCTCCTGTTCATTTATATTGATGGATCACCTCCGTGTTACCACCTTCCTCTCCTTTTCAATCTCCAGTAATGCTAAAACCATGCATTCTTAAAGAAACATAAATCATTTAAATGCATCTATAGTTTGTGTTTTATAAAGAAAATATCAGCGCATCAAACTAGAAATATAAAGATCCTTCCTGCTCACCAATCTGAGACCAAAAAGTAAGCTAAACAATTCTGAAGGTTAAACAGCCAGATTAAACTTTTACCCACTGTTCACAGCCTCATATTCACCTCCCTGTCTCACCTTTATTATGTGTGAAGCACATGGTGCTTGTCTGAATTACAGCAGAACTGAAAAACAACATGTTTAAATTTAAAGATAATACAAGACAAAATGAGATAACCATTTTAAGGTGTTTAATGATTTCAAGAAGATCTCTTTTTTTTTCTTCATTATCCTTTGCAACACCTAAAGACACATCTATTAGCGTATTCCACTTTCATTGCAGGTTTATTTACTATTGGCTCAGCAGTGCATCGATGTATTGATAGTTAATACCGACAGTTTATGTCCATTTATGCCCACATTTGTGTGCATGTGCACGTGTGTGTTTGTCGTGTGTTGCTAGAATAGTGAAATGGCAGTGGGTGTTGCTACAAAAGGCCCATCTATTATTTGATGGGTATCTGAATGCAATAAAAATGTCAGAAGCATCCTCCGAGACTGTTAAAATAAATTAGATTAAAAAAAACTTGTAGACAAACACTTTAGTCAAAACCACATTTTATTATTATTAACATTATTTTTTTACATGTTGGGTGCCATATTATTCCACATATTGTTGAACCTTCTTCATCACCTCCTCTTTAAAAATGTTTGTACAGCTTCTGTCTGGCCTTTTGTTTGTTCTTCACTGGTCTTTGCACAATCTTGACTTCTCTCTTAATTTTCTGCCTTCTTAACTGTGAATGAAACCCCCCTTTGATGTTGCATCTAATTCCATTTTCTTAATTATTTTGCTCCTTTGCTTTATGTGCTTTTGGTTTTTCATGTAGTTGTACTTCCCTCACAGACACACACATTAAACATATTTTCATGTAAAAACTGTGAGCCATGAACCACAAACATCAAGCTATTAAAATAAAATCACATTTCCAATAAGGTCCAGGTTTTTTTCTATTCTCCAAATCTCATTTTATCATGCAAACACACACACACACACACACACACACACACACACACACACACACACACACACACACACACACACACACACACAAGCTTACAACAAATTTTTACATTGGGTCTTCTATTCATTTTGAACAGCTAATTTAAGAAAAACCTTTAAAGAAGTGGAACACTGAAAAACTATTTTCTAATTATTATTTCTAATTATAATTAGTCACTCTGAGTTTTTTCATGCAGGCAGAACATGAAAATAGTTCCCTACATCCATCTCCTGCATTAGCTTCTGATAAAAAATAGATGTTGAAACTCTAGGATTTCTAAATCCTGACAGATCTACATCACACTGTCATTTACCGCCTATGGACTCACCCATCTTACTGTTGACGAGAAAGGCTGTTGTTGGTTTTGCATCCAGGAAACAGCAGAGAATGTCTCGTCTAGTAGAAGCTAACCATAAGCATTAGCAACTCCACCACACAGCAGAACTTCTCCAAGCTTTTGTTATTTGTGGATATAAAACATCAATGTTGCAAAGCAAACAGAGTCAGTGGTAAAGTCACATTGCTGTTATCCAATCAGAGGTGAGATGTCCAAATATCAGGAAATAAGACTCCAAATCTTGCTGTGTTACGTTCTCCTCTGATGTGTCATTTTGCTAGTTCCTGAAATGAACGCATCTGAGATTTTCTTTCCTCAAGTACGACTTGCAATGCATTAATTCCTACTAGAGACCACTGAAAATGCATTGATTAAACGAGTATCCCACGACTTTAACTCTTGGACAAAAAGCACAGCTTGGTCTTCAAAAGTCACAAGGTCCCTAATAGGTTGGCCATGAAATGTGACAAAGTCCTCATGAGGCAGCAAAAACAAGTCTACAAGAACGCTCACATTGCTGACATAAGAGGTGTCAGACAAGTTTGCTGAGAAATTAATTGTAGCAGTTTGGATCTGCAAAGTGAAGTGTGCTTTTCTTTGCTGTTTAAAATGTGTAACATTTGATTTTATTCTTAGAAAACACACACACACACACACACACACACACACACACACACACACACACACACACACACACACACACATGTTGAATTTGCTACAAGCCCTACAGCATGATATGGTGTTTGCACAGCAATTAACAGAACTGTAAAGGTGTTTTTGTTATCTAACCACGTGATCCTTATGTATTTTTTCTTTTTCAAACTTGGCACAAAGTCTCACATTGCTGCTGAAAATAGTACAAAACCTTTTTTTTCACCAGTGACTAGACACAGAAACGTGCGCTCCATTTCCACCAACAGCTTTGGCACTAATTAATTTGATGTCCCTTATTAGGCAGCAGACCTAGTTAATGAAAGCAAGTGCACCCTAAAAGCTGTGCCACAGACAATCACGGTCACACAGCTCACCTTTAGGCACCTGGAAAATGGAGTGGACGGATATCCATCGGCATTGTGTTAATGGAATGTTAGCTTTTATAAAAGGGGCCAGATCTAATCCACAGAGCCTGTGAAAGAAAAGAAAAGATGAAAAGGGATTGTGTTTAGCTTTTTCTTCTTTCAATTGCTACGGCCTTTGTTACAGAGATTAAGTGGAGGAAAGCTTACCTGAAGCTCAGCTTTTTTACAATTGATTAAACCTCCTCCCTGAACACCACTTGCAATAATCACCTGGTTAAGTGCAGGTGCTCCTTAGACAGGAGTTTTACAGTGTTTGGACAAATGAGCGCTTTTTTTAGGGATTTAATTACTGATACAGCCTTGAGCCACCTCTGTTTTGTCTTTGAGAGAAAATAAAGGCAACAGCGCCATCATCTTAATGACAACACATTTTATGTGTTATTAAGGTCCAGTTAACGTGTGAAAAGACCCATGGTGTGCTCACTGACAGTAAGACAGCATCACAAAATCAAATGAGTAAAACAGTCTCTATGGTTAGAATAGAATGCTTTATGGATTGCTCTCTAAGTCACACGTTCAAGATGATTCCAGAGTTTGACCCCAGTCTTTACATCTGTCTGTAACTTCACCTATTTTGGAGAAATGCAACAATGGTTTGTTCTAGAATTTGCTACAATCCTATGAAAAAGACTTTTGCTATTTCTTCATAGCATCATAGCATTCTCCCAATAGGTTTGATGTATATTATATTTTACCACAGTCCTAGTCTCTAATTATTCAATTTCTTTAAAGTTCTCCAAAGGTTTTATTTATTTATTTATTTTTAGGTTTTGGCTGCTTTCGGATTCATTTCCGTCCAGTCCTAATATCTAACTAGAGCAACACACATTCGCTAAAAATGTAAAGAAATGTGGAAAAACAAATGAGAAGAAATAAGAAATATTATCAGCCTTAAAAAAAACTTGCATATAAAGTTGTATCTTTTAGAACTAACAAGGGCAAGATTGTCAAAAAGCAAAAAAAAAAAAAAAAAAAAAAAAAACAAGACCTGAGGGATGCATTAACCTTCAGATGATAATCTCATATTTTTGAGTTAATAGCTCTATCCCTATGGTGCAAAAATATAGATTTGTAGTAAACTACTATCTACATTATTTTTCCATAGATTCTACTAAAAAAAAGGAACAATTTGTCTTTGTGATAGATTGCTATTAAATACGTGCATTTAGTTTTTTGTCTTTTATTTGACACACACTACTTAATCTTTTTGGTTTAATAGACGTTGTACAGTATATCTGAATGTATCATAAGTCAGTTGTCAAAAATAGACACTAAACCACAAATTTGTGAAAAAAGCAGTCAAATAACAAACTAAAAAAAACCTGAAAATACATTTAAAACCACTAATGGGTAAAAAATCTGACTCCCTAGTGGCAAAATAAAACAGAACTCTATTTGTAAAGATTCACTAATGGCCATTTAATCACTCGTTATCTTTTTATTATGAAACAGATTGTCGGGTTGTTGTAATAGAACAACAAAGAATCAGTTGCAAATCATGTTATTTTACTTATTAAGAAATACACTTTTCACAATAATTCAAACAGCAGGTCTTTACCGAATCTCTCTCTCTCTCTCTCTCTCTCTCTCTCTCTCTCTCTCTCTCTCTCTCTCTCTCTCTCTCTCTCTCTCTCCTCTCTCTCTCTCTCTCTCTCTCTCTCTCCTCTCTCTCTCTCTCTCTCTCTCTCTCTCTCTCTCTCTCTCTCTCTCTCTCTCTCTCTCTCTCTCTCTCTCTCTCTCTCTCTCTCACTCTCTCTCTCTCTGATGGGAATCTTAAATTCCCTTGGTGGAAGTTATTTCAGCACCTTCTTTTACATAGTTTATGACTAATAGATATCACTATTGTCAAAAAATATTCATTCTGTTTTTTTTGTGTGGCAGGCATAAATCAAGGAAGCTGTTACAGGATCAACCATTTCCCTGATGACAACGACTACGACACAGATAGCTCTGAGTATCTGCTGCGTAAGTGTTGCCCACACATCATTTTTATCAGACATTAACACAGACACTCCTCTTAACTAGTCATCTACAGACCAAAATTTTCCTTTTATTGGAAGACAACTGCATGATATGATTGATTTATCATGCTAAAAAAAGAAACTTGCCAATATTTATTGAGAAGATTTTATTGTGATGATGTTGGATTAGTCATCACAAAACTGTGATCACATGTTACAATATTTTGTCTTAAAGAAAAAGTTTATTTAGCCAGTAAACAATTAGGCCTAAGTCAATTATTTTATCATTAAAGAAAACTAATTCGTCTTTTGACTTTTCTTTAATTTTTTTCAAGTAGAATTTGAACAATTAAAATTATTTTCTTAAAAATTTTTCCTCTTGAGTTTTCTTTTTTCTGGTTGTTGGTTTGTTTCTTTAATTCTTATTGAACCTTCTGATGAGGCATGGGAGTCATTTGAACCAAAATCTGTCCAGAGTAAAAAAGTACCTAATGAAAAAATACTAACACAATTAAAATAATTAAAAAAAAAACCTTTCTAACTTTTTTTGGCCACTTAGAGACGTTTAAAAAAAATAAATGTTTTTTGAGACCATGTAGTCTTGTTTACTGAACACAAGCAACACAGTTGATAGTCAACATTACATTCCTCCTCTCATTAGATTCTGCTAATGGGATTCTCTGTGGATTTGTAAAGTCACTGTTAAATATCTGAAGAATGCCAAAGTGGCTGTAGAGTATTCATTTATTTTTTATTTTTTAAGCAGTGTTTTGATTTGTCACCTTGAGCACCCAACGCACTTTAAAAATTAAGAAGATATGTTTAGTTACTATAATGCAGGGATCCTAAGGACCAGTACTGCACCATTATTCATTTGTTATTGGATCACATGAAAAAAAGCAGAAAAAATGTTATTGTTATTATTATTAGTTATTGGTGTTTAGGGAACTGGGGTTTTAAAAATGTACTATCTTTATATTACATTGTGTCAGTAATAGAAATAAAGTCAAAAATATTCGCATTACATGTATAATAATAAAATTTAATGTGATATCTCTTGGATATCTACATTGCTCTGGCCACCTCTCACTGGTTCATGGAAAAGTTGCCTTGCATGAAGCTAAACCATAATTCACTTAAGGTTAGTGACAACTGCCTTACTATAGAAAATTAACAGATGGAGTATATATTTACCTCAATGTCAGTGTGCTGGGAGAGTTTGACATGCCCTGAAAACATGATCTGTGATTTTCCTAAATAATCTTGAAAAGCTTACAGCACAACATGTTGTCAAATATTTAAATTTTACTGCTCAATCATAGGAAAACTAATACTGCTCTTCAATTATTGTACTTGGTGGTGGTTAATTTGTAAATAAGATCTAGAAGGCAGATGGAAACAATTTAAACATCTCATTCACCAGATACACAGAGATTCAGAGTATCAAGAGACAGCTGTTTCTGAACAGGTCAAACATCTGTCTTCACGTGTCTCCTTATGGGGATTTTTTAACAATTAGTATGACAGGTTCTTTGAAGTATGAATAACATTTTGTATTTTAAGTGTAGTTTTGTTTAGTTTTACCAATAAAGTTTTGTTCCCCATACTTGAAGCCCTTCAAAGATTGTGCTCTCATGACATCTTGGATTACACTCAAAGCACAAAGGCCCTAAAAACATTTACACTAAACACTGGCTGTAGCTAGCTAAACATAAAAACATATTTCATTTACCCAGCATAATAAATCATGCTAAATTTATTGGATTTTCCCCCAGTGGCCATTTTGTGAGTATTTATTTAGTGCACATTGTTATTTAGATAATTATCTTCTTTCAGATAGCAGATTCATCTTCTGTCTGACATACAATGAACATCAAGAGGTCTTATCAGATTTTGGGTGAATTCCAAGTTTAGTCCATTAGCTGAATCAAATGAAATGGGCTTCTAATGAAAGAACACACAGCTGAATAAGTCCATCCATCCTTGGACTGGTAAAATGGTGACTTATTTTTTCTAGTGGTGGTAGTCAGTGAGTGCTCCTTTTGCCACCCACGACTGATTACCAAAGTTTTGTCACAACAAGGCTTTGAAGAATAATGCATTTCTTCAAATTAGAAGGTGGGACTGAATGGACATTACACAATACTCCCTAATTATTATACAAACTTAGACATGCAGATTCATGTTCTGTTCTGGTCAGATATGCTAAACATGTTTGTAGTAGTGAACCACTGATTATTGATTAGATCTAAAACCATCTTGAGAGAATCCTCCTGTCTTTCTACAGGTATAGTTCGTGCCTCCAGTGTGTTTCCCATCCTCAGTACCACCCTGTTAATGCTTGGTGGGCTGTGTGTTGGTATGGGTCGAGTCCACAGCAAGACAAATAATGTTCTCCTCAGTGCAGGCATTCTTTTTGTAGCTGCAGGTGAGATGGATAACACTTCTAGAGACTTACCTATTTTGATGGCTTTCTCTGTAGACTATTAGAAAAGATGATGCTATATATATTTTTTTTTTTCTTGTTAATCAGGTCTGAGCAACATTATTGGGATCATCGTCTACATTTCGAGCAATGCCGGAGACCCCAATGACAAACGTGATGATGACAAGAAATACACTTACTCTTATGGATGGTCATTCTATTTTGGTGCCCTTTCCTTCATTGTTGCTGAAACTGTGGCTGTTCTCGTCATCAACATCTACATTGAGCGAAACAAAGAAGTTCGCTGGAAGGCTCGGCGGGAGTTTATTCGTTCGCTCTCCTCCTCTTCTCCGTACTCGAGGATACCAAGCTTTCGTTACCGCAGGCGAACGTCACACACTAGTTCACACTCCACAGAAGCATCCAGGGAGAATTCGCCAGTGGCTGGCCTGAAAGGGGCCCCGTCCTCCAGTGGGCCCCTGGATGAACTGTCTATGTATGCCCTTGCAAGAGACAGTGTAACGGAAAATACATACAGTCCCGAACATGAGGGTAGTGCTGAGTTCCTTCAGGTTCATAACTGTTTCCCAAATGATATAAAAGATGGAGTGAATCGTAGGACCACGCCTGTGTGAGTGGCTAAAGATTCAACTGATTAAGAAGAAGATAGAAATCAGTAGCCTGACCTGCTAGAAGCTGAGCATTGCATGGCAGCCTGCCATGTTTTACCATTTTGAAAGGACCAAAAGGAGACAAGGACAGTCAGCTGGACAGAACATGAGCCAATTAACAGAACTGCTTTTAGAGACCATTAAAGCAGAACAGAGTAACTACCGTCTGTGCTGTAGCCAATCTAAAACTAACTGTGAACAGTATGTTTATCAGAGTAATTATCCTTACACTTTGTGGGTAAACTTGAGAGTAAAACCTTGAGATGTGCCCTTCAGCAGTGTTCTACTCATAAATGAAACACGGTGCTAAATGAAACATGATATTCAACCTGAAAGTGTTGCATTTATATGTGATGTTATTCCGTACATGTCTCTTCAAACCTTTTACTCTGTCCTCACATTTTATTAAATGCTCTGATCACAAGTTTGATGAAGATGATTCTCTTTGACAACTGTACAACTAGTAATGAGTGGTTTTACTTAATCATGTATTCACTGTGTTGGACAGAATGTTGAGTGTTTTTGTAAATTCCTCTGTGACATTCGTCAAAGAGTGGAGCTAAAGGATTCATGTTCAGTGGTCTTTTCTATTTGCTTCCATAACAGTCTGCCATGTTTCTATCACACCTTCTGATGGATGTGCCATTCTGCCTGTCATGGAAGAAAAGCAGCTGACAAATACGAGGGGTGCCCAAAACAGAAAAAAAAACAAAAACAAGTCAGGACTTCCTTTTGCTTTGAATGGAGCCTTGGCATGGAGTGATTAACTGATAAGGATCACAGCCAGGCAGGGAATTCATGTCTGTCTGTCACAAAGTCTGTGAGTCCATCTGGCAGCCTTTCCCCATCACCGCCCCTCCCTTTGTCAAACTGATGCTTCAGACTGAAGCAGAGGGAGCTGCCTCTCCAAAGGATTTGGCCCTACATGCGTGTATTTCTGTGCCGTGGTTTACAGCTGCTTTGTCTTTTTGTTCTCTCAGGAAATACAGTAAAGTTGTGGCAGGTTGAACATTTTGAGGTCCTCTTCTTGCTGTTATTATGATAGACAACGGATCAATGATGAAGATAAACCTGATGAAAAATGCCATCACTATTGTTGCTAAATGCTGTGAGTGTTAGCTTGAGCTTTCTCTGTGAACCACCTGGAGTGGGTTCTTCAGAGGTGAGCTCTTTCAAACACAAAGTAGTGTTAGTGTATTGGGTATTTCATTGTAGATGCTTCATATATCCAGACGAGCACTCGCAAAAAATAAATCAACAAAAAAAAAAAACTTAAAGACATCAGTGTAAGTCTTAACTTTATACTCTTGTCTAAAAAAATAACCACTATCTGTTTGTTATATAAAACTGTAAATAAATTTAAAGTATAACAAAGGACAAAACCTAATGTAAAAAAAACATCAAACTTTAGTTTATTGATAATTGGATCAGTAAGGATGCTTTGACAAGTCCATTATTGGTCATGTAATTGAGTTTTATTTATCTTCAATTAATTTAGCTATTATGAGCCAGTGAGTCTTTTAAATATTATGTTTTGTAAGGTGAAGTACAATGATTAGAGGAAAATATATTTTCTATTACATTTATGGACGGCAGCTGTACTTTATTGTGTGTGTTCATGTTGATTTATGGCTTACTATGTATAAAAGTGCTTTCTCTTTTCACCAAGAAACAAAACTTTTGGCTTTGGATGATTAAAGGGAAATGGATAAGTTGCACAATGTATAAAAAGCTAAACAATCTGAAGCCCCCTAATTTTTTTCAAAACCCTTTCCTTTGTCCAGTTGTAATATGTTCAAGACCAAATTAATTGCTATTGTAAAGGTATTTTTGTGCCTTTGCTCTTTTTATGACTGACTGTATTCCCTCCTCTTGTTATTTAAAAATGGTATTTATACTCTGTGTTCTGCCCCAAGCATACCGTACCTAGACAAATAAACAGAATCAGGGTTATATTGTTTGTTAATGGGTGGTGATTACCTAATAAAAAATAACAAGCAATGGTGTACAAAAAGTCAATTATTATGATTTATCCTTGAGATCAAATGCACATGCACAGTATTTTTATGGCAATATTACAATCTTGAACACGGTTGACATGCAGAAACAAATAGACAGATAGATAGATGGATGGACAGACGGACAGACAGACAGCACTGTCTCAGAGAATATACAATCCCTCAGCAGAGTTCTGGGTCTGGTATTGGTTTTCCTCCTTGGAGGAACATGTCTGGAAAACCTCCAGTGTGAAGCAAATCAGAAGACCTCTGATTGGATCTCCCAAAGCATTTTGAGGTTACATACCCTGCTATATTTGGGGTATCATTTAAGGGCTACCTGGTACTTATATATTCAATCGTGTTTGTGGTGTTCATAGAACAGTTGTAGTCATGGACAGGAAGGTATTTTGTTAGGGAACCCCAAAAACTCATTTTTGCCGATGATGTGGCTCTGCTAGTATTTTCAAGTCATGACTCTCAATATTCACAATGGTGATGTATAACCAAGTGTGAAGCAGCTAGTTAGTTAATTCAACTCTTAGGCTAAAGGTCTCAGTCGCGTTTAAAGCTTATGCCCCAAGGTCAGCGGTTAAAGGTTTCTTGTCCACGCATGATGGTAAGGAAGATTGGGGCTTGGTCTGCAGTTAAGGTTTGGCTCCTATATGTTGAAGTGAAGAATTAGTTATGTTGAAAGGTAAAGCTCCTAATTTCCTGGTCCATCTCTATTCTGTACCTTACATAGGGGCGCAGATAGGATTTTCAAACTGGGGTGGGCAAAGTTCCAAATGTACCCTCCCCCAAACACACACACACACACACACACACACACACACACACACACACACACACACACACACACACACACACACACACACACACACACACACACACACACACACACACACACACACACACACACACACACACACACACACACACACATACATAAACTATTGTAAGCGCCTTAACTAGAGCTCAGTCAGTTTGTGTCGTTTCATCCAATGGTTTACGTAAAAACTAACACTTTTATATACGTGTTTGAAGCCATTACGCAGTGGAACGCTGGCAACAAAGCTCTGCCTGATCAACACTATAAATGATAAATGATCCGCACTTGTATAGCGCCTCTCAGAGTAAGGACTCTAAAGCGCTTTACACTACAGTGTCTCATTCATCCATTCACACACATTCACACACTTATAGGGATGAAGAAGAAGAAAATATTATTTCTATAGCGCCTCTCAAGATAAAAATCACGAGGCGCTTCACAAAAACAACGTAAAAAAAGTTAAAATGTAAAAAAGCATTTAGAAAATGTTTAAAAATATATTTAAAATGAGCAAAAATAGGCAATTGGGATTTAAAAGAAAAAATGTTAAGAAAGAGAGAGAGTGAATAGGAAAGAGGGAAGTCAGTGGATCCTGAGAAAGGTGGAATAGGAGGGGAGAGCAGAATAGAGAAAGTGGTTGAAGAAGGTCATACAAAAGCCAGCTTGAACAAGTGAGTCTTCAGCTGCTTTTTGAAGGAGACCACTGAGTCCACTGATCTCAGGCTCAGGGGGAGAGAGTTCCAGAGTCTGGTGGCCACAGCAACAAATGATCTGTCACCTTTGGTCTTTAGCCTGGTGCTGCACAACCAGTAGGCTTTGATCACTGGACCTCAGGGACCTGCTGGGGGTGTAGGGACTAAGAAGATCACCAATGTGAGATGGTGCTTGTCCATGTAAGGCCCTATAGACCAGAACCAGGATCTTGAAATGAACCCTGAAGCTGACTGGCAGCCAATGAAGCTGGAGGAAAAGTGGGGTGATGTGGGTGTATTTGGAGGACTTGGTCAGAAGCCGAGCACAGGCGTTCTGAACCACCTGTAGACGGTTCAGGGAGGTTCTGCTCAGACACGTGAAAAGAGAGTTACAGTAGTCTAAGCGTGAGGAGATGAAGGTGTGGAGAACTGTCTCAAGTTCAGAGCGGGACAGAATGAGACTCAGCTTAGCAATGTTCCTGAGATGGACGAAGGAAGAGTGAACAAGATAACTGACATGAGAATCCAGGGTGAAAGCTGGGTCAAAGGTCACGCCAAGATTCCTGATGGAAGGTTTGGTGTGAGAAGCAAGCTGACCAAGAGAGTCTCTGACTTTGGGAACCAGCTTGTCTGGGGCACAGATGAGGATCTCAGTCTTATCTTCATTCAGCTGAAGAAAGCTCCCAGCCATCCAGGTTTTGATAGAGTCTAAGCAGGTGTGTAACAGCTGCAGCTTAGACATCTCATGGGGCTTAAAGGAGATGTACAGTTGGATGTCATCTGCATAATGGATCGATGTAGCCACTGCTGCCCTGGGGCACACTGACAGAGGCGCCCCACTATTTAATTCAGTCATTTGTTATTCTCCCAATCAATTACTAACCAAAACCTCAAGCTTTATGCAAAACATTAAATTATTTTCAGCATACCAATCTTTACAGAAAACATAAAAGCTCTAAAAATCTGCACATAAAATATATTAAAAATTCAAATTCACTTATCACTTAGAGCAGTAGTTCCCAAACTTTTCAGCCTGACCAACAGATGTTCCTTTGTATTTTTACGTTATTTATAAATTTTCATTATATTTTGGAAGTTTTTATTTATATATTAATATATAAATCTCTTTTAAAATTTTATATTTTACTTTTTATGATTATGTGGCACACTTGACTTCCATACAACGCATCGGCATCTGCCTCTTTTTACGGCTTTTTCTTTTTTACATTGTCGCTACGTCTATCACGTTAGCGGTGTTTTTACCATCATTTCTACATCCATCACGTCCCAGAGAAGGTTAAACAAACATCAAACCCAACGTTTGGAGCTTGTTAACTCCATACACCTCTCGTGCAGCACCAGCTGTCTGATGCTGCAGCAGCGTCAATCTTCCCGGCTAGATGAGTGAATTTCTTCATCAGAGTCAATATTCTGCTTCATAATTGGAGTCAGTCATTACCAGACAAAGTGATCAGTCAACAAAGACCAGACCTGCCGGCAATTATACGTTTTATCTAATATTTGCGCTCATCATGCTGCACGCATCTCCTCCTCTCCCCGTCTGGGAGCCTCTCGGCGGGAGGCGTTTTTCTAACTCTAAAAACTCCCAAACTTTGCTCAGCCTGAAGGTTACGCATCTCCACTATCTTATGATGTAAAGTAGTAACTTCAAAAGGGATCATAGTTGTAGATGAGACTTGTTAAAAAAGTCAGCAATGAGGCTTTGGCGCTTATAACCAACATGCATAAACAGACAGATCGGTCCCACCTACTTACACTGTTGGTCTTTTTTAAATACGCAGTAATTGTTGCTTGCCTTTTTCGCTTCATCCTGCATCCTAGCAGCAACCATTTTGGCGCCTCTGGAGTCGGTGTTTGTTTACGTCATGCTGCATTCAATGTAATTGGAAAAATGAGCTTCAAGCTCTTAACCTCCGATTTTGTTTTCTTTCTGGCCTTAGTTGGGGGGGACGGATCGGGGTCGATCTGAATCTGGGGGGACAGATCACCCCGTCCCCCACCCTATCCGCGCGCCTGCCTTACATTGATCCTGAGAACAAAAGAATAGGATCTAGGATAAAACAACAAAAACGTTTCCACAGAAATTGTACCTGGTTTCCTTTTTCTTCTGTACATTCATTCTGTGTATTTTGTCAACTTACATTGCTTGGTTGCTTTAAAACACAGAAAAAAAGTTGTTCTTTACCTTGTTTGTCAATGTTTCGTCAACAAAACTATGAAAGTTGGATTTAAGAAGCAATACAAATGAGGGGACATGGACACGCCACCATAAACAGAGACGATAGAGTCTACACGTTAGTTCACACATGGGACTGTGTCATCGGCGAGGAAGGCGCGGGAAGCAGAGGGCAACATCGTCCTCTGCTGCTTGCAGACAAATGGAGAAGGAGGTGACGCCACAATTGGCACAGCTCTGAGGATGGTTAAAGTAATTAGCTGAAACGTTAGCAAACAAGGTAAAGAACAACTTTTTTTCAGAGTTTTAAAAGAACCAAGCAATGCAAGTTGGTTTCCTGCTTTTGGAGGTCTTGTGGGCATTTCTGACTGGAACTTACTGGAAGAATATTTATCCTTTTGGCATGGAACCACCTTGAGATCTTGCAGGAGGAGCTTGAGATTGTTGCTGGGTAGAGGAATGTCTGGGGTTTCCACATGGATCTGTTACCTCGGTGACCCAATCATAGATGTACAGAAGAAAACTGTTGAAATGATGGACATTCCACCTGAACAAATGAGGCTTTCTATAAAATCCCAACGGTCAAGGAACAGATTCAGTTATTCATCTAAATTACCATTTTTGTTTGTCTGTAATGCACAAGATGGAAACCTGAGCAAAAATCAAATATTCATCTGGTCCCCATTATTAAAAACCATGTATTTACATTGAACCTAGTCACAGTACTGAAGCCTACATTGGAATATAATTGTAATCTTGCTGAATAATTAAAGCTGGTAATCTAACCTGGGAAATCATCTTTTGATTTAAATGTCTAATGTTGCAGCACAATTGCTACATCAGCTATCTTTTGTTATTTAGCCCAATTTGATTTTTTCTTTTTAATCTCTGCTCGTTAGCTCACAATGAACCATCCCACATCACCTCGTTTGGATAAATAGACAAAGCAATCGTTATAATGGATTAAACACAGGAGGAGGTGAAGATGTGTTGTAGCTGATCTTGTTTTTTAGACATGAAGATTTACACGACCCTCACAAAAATGGCCTTGGGGTAATCTAATTTAGCTTGAGTGATGTTGGCTGTCATTAGCAAATGAACACAGTTGGGTGTCTCTGAAGGCAATGCTCTGGGTAAAATTAGATACCAATTAAGGATGGTTTGTTTTTGTGGTATAAAGGTTCTGGCAAGGAAGCTGCCAGTCATAATTTAAAAAATACCCCTTTTACACCAATTGAAGCAGAAATGTTGTTTCTGCTATTTTAAATTAAGTAACTTATTGAACAACACTAAAACATGAAGTAAAGATGTATTGCTAGATGTTGTCTTTAAATTACTCTCTTCGTCATTTGGTTGACACCAAGTGATCCCTTCTGTATGACATACTGCTACACTGTGGGTGGCTTGTCACCGCTGTCATCCACACGTTCTGCCTGTTGCCTGGAGACGGTGCAGCTGTGAGGTGGTTGGTCTCTCCACAGCCATCGAGGGACCATGAACAAATAACGAAGGTCAAAGGGTCACCCAGGAAAACAGACAGCACCAAAAGACACTATTATTATACACTTATAGATGAGTGGTTGCTGTCACAGCCTTAAAGAGGACTCTGCCTCAGGGAAAATGGCAGCTTTGCCTTAAATGGAGCCAGGTAGGATGTGATAATGAGCACAAGGACTTCCTCTCCTCTCAAACCCCTTTAAATCCCTCACTGTGGAGATTCTTCCTTGAAAGTGGGTTTGATTTACCTTTGACAGTTCAGTGTAATATTATTTTTCTTACATCAAACACTTTAGTTCTCATTAACAAGTGTAATAATCATTATCAGTTCTTCCACACACACACATATAAATCTAATATGACAGACACAAGATCCCATCTTTTTTCTCTTTCAAGACTTTTGACCTTCTATTTTGTTCATGTTAGCTTTTGCTCTGAATGCTTCACAAATTAATGTGCTTAAAAAAACAGCTGCGTGAGTGGTGTCCGGGCTGAAAATAAGCCAGAGTCCTGTCTAAAGTGGGGCGCAGTGGTTTATAAAAAGCTACTCAATGCACTCTGGCATTTCAAAGGGAAACATTCAAGATGTTTTTTTGAGGCATTTCAGGTTTTAACTCTTCATGTCCCACCCCAAAACTGGCCTTTTCATTTTTGAAGAACTACGGTGAAAACATTTGCATGCCAAACTGATGCAAAGGAAAACAACTCTGAATCATAGAATCAGAAAAATGACTTGTGTGGAGTTAGAACCAGGGTACTCTGCATAATGTAGTAACTGACAAGTATTTTCTCTGAATTAGATAAAGATATATTGATTGTAGCTGTTTTCTCCTGTTATTTTTCATGATAAATCAAGTAAATTGAAAAAATTTAAGCAATTTTGGCTTGATTGGTTCACCAGTTTTCTCCATCTGAGTATAGCAAGGCACTCTTTTATTGACGTAAAACAAAGCAATCATAAAAATGTCCTGATTTCTTTCTTAAAGCCACCAAATGGGACAAATCTTAGAAAAAGCTTGGAATAAAGGTGCAATACAATTTGAGACAATGTGATACAATTAAATGTTTTATGATACATTACAGTATGATGCAATACTATGTGATACATGTAAAGCAATGTTATACAATACAACATTCTACAACACAACACAGTGGAAAGTGATTCAACACAATAGAATACAATCATGAACATTACAATAGTATACATCATAAAGCAATACAATACATAGAAAATATGATACGCTGGACTCGCCCATGTTAGTGGTAGTCAGAGGGGCCAGTGGTGCAAAATGGCAGCCTGGCGTCTGTGACTTGCATACACGCATGAAATCATGGATTCTGTAAAGCGCTTTGGGTCCCTTGAAAAGAGCTATCTCTAATCCACTGTATCAATACAATTTGATAAAGCACAGTTTGATGAGGTAAAAATGAGGCAAAACATAACAATAAACAATACAATTCAATGTAATACAGACAGCTGTGGATCAGTGAAAAAGTGTTTACTTGCCAATCAGAACACTGATGTATTGGTCCTGTCTTTATGTAGAGACAAACAAGGCATACAACCATTCACACTTAAGGTTGGTTTGTGCTTGACGCGTCCGCGAGGTCCGCACGGCTCCGCTCGGCGAAATTGCATCATTTTAACAACCACGCCCCTCCACCGCGTCTCCGCACGGCCCAAAATTTCCGCAACGCGCACCTAGGAAAATTTCTAACCATGCAGACGGTCGGACGCGGAAAAACATGGCGGATCGGCAAGAACTAGTATGGCAGAGGTCGTAAATACAGACATTTGTATGATTCAGCTCTCAGAAATCACCGTGATCAACATGTTGTTAATAATTCTTGGAGAGAAATAGCTTGCACTGTCGGAAAAGACGAGGACACTGTTAAAAATGCTGAAATGCCATGTTGTAAACAGTAATTTCTACTTCTACTATGGTGTAGTATTGGATGCATGCCGTAGAGCTCCATGCTGCCCCGTTCAGTTTGGGAGAATATTGGCTCACCGCAGAGACGAGCCGCACGAACCATAAACGCTGCAAGTTGTGAAGCGCGTTCCATCCGCGAGCCGCATCACCGCGCGGAAAGTGAATGCGTCAAGCATAAACCAAGCTTCAGGAACCATTCAGAGTCCTCAATCAAAATTCATGTTTCTGGCCTGGAAGAAGTCAGAGTATCCATATGCGTGCAGAAAATGCAAACTCCACAAAGAAAGGTTGCAGAGCTGGATTTCAAACTTCCTACCTTTATGCTGCGATGCAACTGTGCTACCAACTGCACCACTATACAGCCTTGCAAATCCATTTAGTGCATTATGGTACAATGTGGTGCAATGCAATGGAATGTGATACTATACAAACCAATGTTGTGCAAGGCAATACAATACAATATTACTCAATACAAGAAAATATGATGTGATTCACAACAATACAGTACAGTACAACCCAGAATGGTATGACACAAAACTATATGATACCAGAAAATTTAACGATACTGTATAAATGTTGGGGTTCTTTTCTGTCCTGACAGGTGCTTTGATCTTCCTGTCAACACAATGTTTTGAAATAAAAAGCTAATTAAAATGTGGGGCAACATACACTGCCCGGCCAAAAAAACGTTGCCACAAAAAAAATTAAAGGCCACGCGTTACACTGTACTATTTAACTGAACCACCTTAAGCTTTGATTGCATCACTCATTTTCTGTGGCATTGCTTTGAGAAGCTAATGCAATGTCACAAGATTTATTTCCACACACTGTTGCATTAAAATGTTCACCAAGATCTTACATTGATGACGGTTGAGGCTAACTACTGCACAAAGATTCTCCAGCACATCCCAAAGATTCTCTATGGGGTTAAGGGGCGACGGTGGCAGAGGAGTTAAGTGCTCGTCCCGTAATCAGAAGGTTTCAGATTTGAGCCCTGCTTAGTCTGTTGCTGTCGCTGTGTCCTTGGGCAAGACACTTAACCCACCTTGCCTGCTGGTGGTGTTCGAAGGGAGCGGTGGCACCAGTGTACGGCAGACTTGCCTCTGTCAGTATGCCCCAGGGCAGCTGTGGCTACAATGTAGCTCATCACCACCAAAGTGTGAATGGGTGATTGTGTTTTAAAGCACCTTGGGGGGTTCTAGGACTCCAGAAGGTGCTATATCAAATACAAGCCATTTAAGGTCTGGATTCTGTGGTGGTCCATGTGTGAAAACTATGGGTCGTGTTCCCTGAACCACTCTTTCACCTTTTGAGCCTGACGAATCCTGGCATTGTTATCTTAGAGTGCACCTGTGCTTTTATAGAAGTTGAAATAGCCTGGTCATTCAGTACTTTCAGGTAGTCAGCTAACCTCATTCCTGTTACTGAACCTAGACCTGACCAACTGCAGCAACCCCATATCATAGCACTGCCCCCACAGGCTTGAACAGTAGGCAGTAGGCTTGATGGGTGCATCACTTCATCTGCCTCTCTTTTTACCTTGATGCACCCATCATTCTGGAACAGGGTCCATCTGGAGTCATCAGACCAGTTTTTAACAATGTGTTGGACAGTTCTTAATTCAATTTTTGTAGTTTCTGTAATCTCCTTAGATGTTTTCTCTGCTTGATGCCAATAATCTGACATTTCTCACACAGACTAACATCGTTTCCACGACCACCAGTTGTGTCTTTCCACATGCTTGTGTAAGAAATGAGAAGAAACTCATTGCACCAGTTGGGGTTAAATACCGTATTGTAGCTGAAAGATAATTGCCCTGTAATTATCCAGCAGGAGGCTCATCCCTATTTGCTTGGTTAAATCCAGGTGGCGACATTTATTTGGGCCGGGCAGTATATACAGTAAATGAGTAGGGCAAAGAGTGAGACAAAACATTGGGCTGTGCTGCACAAAGAAAGACCCCTTATTACATTTCTTACTATGCAGATTGATGTGTGGTATGATAATGAGGATCCCCTTTAAACATCGAATTTCACATATAATTTTCTATTAGAAAAATTGAATAAGAAACTTGTATAAATACTGTAAACCTCACATTTTCTATCTTCATTTTGAAGCCCTTTTTGTCTTTACAAATCTGGAACAGCTGTGGCACCTGGTGGGACCCTTATTTCCAACCTTGACAGCTGATTGGCTGAGGAAGTAGATCAGCTCATTGAGATGACAACTAATAAAGGAAATCGTCCCCCTGGAGATCCACGACACACAATGCCTGAGACAACTGAGTTGAAACAAGACTGAAGAAAGAAAAGAGGAAGATGTGACAGGAAATGTTACTAATGGATTACAAGGTCTTTTCCATGAAAGTAAGAAATTGAACAGCTGTGTCAAAACTTGATGGAGGTTTGGATGTTTTTAATATATTCTGTTGGTAGAGCTGGAGTTGAGCACTCACCAACAATGAACTGGGTCTGAACTTAAAATCAAAGACACCAGTTGCCACTAACTGACAATAATAACTAGTTTATCAAGAGATGTAAACACATCCAGGTACGTCTTCATCATGTAACTGACTGGCTTCAGCCTACCAAAGTCAAGTAGGGAGGGTGAGGAAAGAGAGGCGAGAGGTAGAAACTAGGGCACTGTTATCTGGCCCCTTTTCATCAACCACCAGGCACAAGGCAGAGAAAGAAAAAGAAAGAGCCTTGGAGAGCAGACGGGACGAAGAGGACATCAGCGGTGTGCTGAAGACGAGGAAACATCCGGACACAACAACGGATGCTGAAGGCAAACAAGAAAAGGATCAACTTCAGCCGCAGTCTACGCAACCACTCACGCTGCTAGCACACAGTTAGCACTTCTACCTCGTGCATACACTTCAACCTGCAACATGTACGAGGAGCAGGCGACAAAGGTCAAGATCACGTCGGTGGTGATCATTTTTGGCATGTCTGCGATGCTGGCGGCAGTGGTGACTGACCATTGGGCTGTCCTCAGCCCCCGGGTGGAAAAGCTCAACGCCACATGTGAGGCGGCCCACTTTGGCCTCTGGAGGCTGTGCAAGAAGACCATCTTCATAGTTAAAGAAGACCCACTGGGTAAAGGATGTGGCCCTATCAGCTTACCTGGAGGTAAGGAACCTTAGTCCTTCTATTGATGACTTAACTTTTTATGAAGCTTTACATCAGGAGGTCTGTGCACTTCAGAGTTTATGAATATTTCATAGGTATTCTCAGAGGCAGTGGACATATTAATGGGATTAATGGCAATTTAGCCAAATATTTCATGTTTTTTCTGTTTTGTTCTTGCTTTTATGCGCCGGCTTATATGTTGCCCTGTGACATTACCACAAACGTAGACATAGAGGTGACTCAAAGATTTCACAGCTCTAAGGCCAGCCTCCCAATGAACTGTCATTATTCTCCACAGAGGAAGTCGCTGAACAGACTGCCAATTAAACGCTCTGAAGCATCCGAAGCGCAGTGAGAGCGCATTACCTCCACATGAAACTCAAACCTCTCCAGTCAGTCTAGGAAATGACAGGAGTTGTTAGATCATTTGTCGGGATGCACTTTGACAGTGTCTTTCACCAAAACGACGCTTTAACTTCCACAACCCGATTGCTGCTTGACAGATCATGTCAGAGCTAATTTCTACCCAGTTTTGATCAAAGCTGCTGCTAAACTGACAAATGAGAACCCTTAGAAATATTTATAACAGAATTGTTGCAAAGGGAAAACAATTAAATTGGAAAAATATATGATCCCAGGCTCAGGCTTTTTTTTTGTGCGCTGCTCTACATCATTTTATGGTGCCACAAAGAGAATAAACAAAGAAATAACAACATCATTACATCTTGCATTACGATGTCTTTGTAATTCACCTAAAATAGATGTGCTGCTTTAATTATGAAGCTCTCTCTCTTTCTCCGTGCAACGCCAGCCCTTGGGTAATCCATGTCTCCCGGCCTCTAGCTGTGTGTACGTGCCTTGCAGCCTAACAGAGAGATTTCACTCTGACTCTGTCATTGACTTTGCCTCCGGCTCCAGCACCTCAGGATCAGTACAGACCTTAATGAAGTGTGGCTTCTTGCTCCAGCTCATGAGTTACAGTACACCTGGGAGACTCGGGTGGATTGAAAGGAAGTATAGGAGTAGAGCAGATGGGTGGATCTGGGCAGGAAAACCTCATTTTGAGAGTGAGACGGGGAGTACTTTTAGGGTTTCCAAAGATGAAAGGTGGCTTTCAGCGAGGTGGGATGATGCCACACTATGTTTTATGTGTCACATGTGGAGAACTCAAGGTGGACGAGAGACAGTGTGACAGCTGCCTGAACATTAAAACACAGGGACTTTTATTTTGTATTAAGACAGACATATTATTATTTCCCCTCTTTCCAGACAAGCCAATCAGTTATTGAACGAAGGGCAGATTACAGCTGACACACTCACAAATCCAGCTTGACAAATTAATCTAATAGTGACACACTGGGATTTTAATTGAGATTTGGTTTAAAACTGTCAATCTTAAAGACCGAGTTCATGAGAAACCATTTTACTTTTTATTTTTGAAACATCACCTGAGTTTAAAGGTGTAGTTCACTGAAAACCCCCTTTTATGGTTTTTTCTGATCATAATCGGTCACTCTAAGTTTAACATGCAGGATGAGCATGGAAATAGTCTCCTACACCTATCTCCTGCATTAGCTTTCGATAGTAAATAGACAGTGAAACTCAAGGATTTGAAAAGCCTGACCGTCACTTAACATTCATGGACTCACCCATCTTGATTTGCAACGGGGAGGGCTGTTGTTGGTTTAGCATCCAGGAAGCAGCAGAGAACATCTCGGCTAGTAGAAGCTAACGGTTAGCATTAGCAACTTCACCACACAGCAGAAACTCCTACAGGCTTACTTATTGTTATGTGTTATTTGTGGAGATAAAACATCAACATTGCAAGTCAGTGGTAGAGTCACGTTGCTGTCATCCAATCTGAGAAGAGATGTCCGAACATCAAAAAATAAGGCTACAAAACCTGACGTCTGAAGGTCAGTTGTAATGTGAGAAATGGTGCACCAGTATACCCCCACCCCCACCCCCCCACCCCGCGAACGACCTACTAGGTATTCATTCCTACTAAAATGTTCCACTGCAAACTTAATGATTAAAAAAGTGATCCACTCCTTTACGAGGCTGAATGTGGAAATAATCATTTACTTCTATTTTCTGCATTAGCTGCCAATAAAAAATAGATGGGGAAATGTTCAGACTAAAACCAGTTCAATTTTCTAATCTGAGCCTATTTTCTCTCAGAAGCTAATGCAGGAGATACTAGGTATATAGGTGCATGTACATGTTCAGCCTGCATGAAAACAGTCTAACTGATCATTTTCATCCCAAAAAATGAAAAATGGTTTCTCAGTGAACTTGCTCTTTAAAGTTTTAATTTTTTTCACACTTGCTAAGTTTAATGTGTAATGATCCAAAGAGGTAAGACATCGCTCACTGAACTACAAGGAGCTTTTGAATACGCTGTGTGAGGAACTATTTTAACACCTTGTTCCAAATATGTAGTCTACTGATAGGAATAAACTGGCAATCTCTTAACCCCTGGCGGACTATCTGCAATCTCCCATGTTTGTGAAACATCTTGCTCCATTTTATTTAGTCTAGAATAAAATCAAGTGTTTTATGAAGGATTCTGGGAAGACAGCACAAGTGTGGAGGATGATTTCATCCACAAGCTAACAAACCGACAGCTATGTTTCACATTCTGACTACTTCGTCTTCGTCTTCCTCCGCTTATCCGGGTCAGGGTCGCGGGGGCAGCATCCCAATTAGGGAGCTCCAGGCCGTCCTCTCCCCGGCCGTGTCCACCATCTCCTCCGGCAGGACCCCAAGGCGTTCCCGGACCAGATTGGAGATGTAACCTCTCCAACGTGTCCTGGGTCGACCCGGGGGCCTTCTGCCGGCAGGACATGCCCGAAACACCTCCCCGGGGAGGCGTCCAGGAGGCATCCTGACCAGATGCCCAAACCACCTCAACTGGCTCCTTTCGATCCGGAGGAGCAGCGGTTCTACTCCGAGTCCCTCCCGAATGTCCGAGCTCCTCACCCTATCTCTAAGGCTGAGCCCGGCTACCCTACGGAGGAAACTCATTTCGGCCGCTTGTATCCGCGATCTCGTTCTTTCGGTCATTACCCAAAGCTCATGACCATAGGTGAGGATTGGGACGTAGATCGACCGGTAAATCGAGAGCCTGGCTTTCTGGCTCAGCTCCCTCTTCCCCACGACAGATCGGCTCAGCGTCCGCATCACTGCAGACGCCGAACCAATCCGCCTGTCGATCTCCCGATCCCTCCTACCCTCACTCGTGAACAAGACCCCGAGATACTTAAACTCCTCCACTTGAGGTAGGACCTCTCCCCCGACCCGGAGGTGGCAAGCCACCCTTTTCCGGTCGAGAACCATGGTCTCAGATTTGGAGGTGCTGTTCCTCATCCCAGCCGCTTCACATTCGGCCGCGAACCTACCCAGCAAGAGCTGAAGGTCAGAGCTGGATGAAGCTAGGAGGACCACATCATCCGCAAAAAGCAGAGACGAGATTCTCCTGCCACAAACTCGACAGACTCCACACCACGGCTGCGTCTAGAAATTCTGTCCATAAAAGTGATGAACAGAACCGGTGACAAAGGGCAGCCCTGGCGGAGTCCAACCCTCACTGGGAACAGGTCCGACTTACTACCGGCTATGCGGACCAAACTCACGCTCCTCTGGTAAAGGGACTGAATGGCCCTTAACAGAAAGCCACCCACCCCATACTCCTGGAGCGTCCCCCACAGGGTGCCCCTGGGGACACGGTCATAAGCCTTCTCCAAATCCACAAAGCACATGTGGATTGGTTGGGCAAACTCCCATGCCCCCTCCATCACCCTTGCAAGGGTATAGAGCTGGTCCACAGTTCCACGGCCAGGACGAAAACCACATTGCTCCTCCTCTATCTGAGATTCAACTATCGATCGGACCCTCCTCTCCAGTACCTTGGAGTAGACCTTTCCAGGGAGGCTGAGGAGTGTGATCCCCCTATAGTTGGAACACACCCTCAGGTCACCCTTCTTAAAGATGGGGACCACCACCCCGGTCTGCCACTCCCTAGGAACTGCCCCCGATGACCACGCAATGTTGTAGAGACGTGTCAACCATGACAGCCCTACAACATCCATAGCCTTGAGATACCCAGGACGAACCTCATCCGCCCCCGGGGCTCCGCCGCTGTGTAGTTGTTTGACTACCTCAGCAACTTCTGCCCCCGAGATCGGACAGTCCATCCCCAGGCCTCCCAGCTCTGGTTCCTCCTCGGAATGCGCATTGGTGGGATTGAGGAGCTCCTCAAAGTATTCCTTCCACCGTCCGACTATAGCCTCAGTTGACGTCAGCAGCTCCCCATCCCCACTGTAAACAGTGTGAGCGAGTTGCTGCCTTCCTCTCCTGAGGCGCCGGACAGTTTGCCAGAACCTCTTTGGAGCCGATCGATAGTCTTTCTCCATGGCCTCACCAAACTCCTCCCACGCCCGAGATTTTGCCTCGGCAACTGCCACTGCTGCACCCCGCTTGGCTATCCGGTACCTGTCTGCTGCCTCCGGAGACCCACAGACCAGCCACGCCCTGTAGGCCTCCTTCTTCAGCCTGACGGCTCCCCGAACCTCTGGTGTCCACCAGCGGGTACGGGGGTTGCCACCACGACTGGCACCGGCCACCTTACGACCACAGCTAGCAACAGCCGCCTCGACAATCGCAGAGTGGAACAAGGCCCACTCGGACTCACTGTCCCCCACTGCTCTCGGGACGTGGTCAAAGCTCTGCCGGAGGTGGGAGTTGAAGACCGTCTTGACAGGTTCTTCTGCCAGGCGTTCCCAGCAGACCCTCACTATGCGTTTGGGTCTGCCAGGTCTACGCGGCATGTTCCCTTGCCATCTGATCCAACTCACCACCAGATGGTGATCAGTTGACAGCTCCGCCCCTCTCTTCACTCGGGTGTCCAAAACATACGGCCGCAGGTCAGATGATACGACTACAAAATCTATCATCGACCTGTGACCTAGGCTGCCCTGGTACCAAGTGTACCGGTGGGC